TAATAGATGTCAAATAATCTATTCGATCAGATATAGAAATAAAAGAGGTCAGAGAAACAAATTTCCTATGAAGATGTTCAAAAGAAAACTCTTTCTTTTTTTTTTGTTTTTATTTCATAGAAAATAAATATTGTTTTCTTTGAATAATTCTTCAATAAAATGAATAAATAATTTCATAATAACATTTAGAAAGAGGTCGTATCAACAATCATATTTATTCGAAAATATTTTTCTCAATCTTTTTTTTCTAGTAAAAAAAACCTGAAAAATGATCTGATACTAATTCTAATGAACTGCAGAACACGTTTTTGACAATATTATTCTATTGTTTTCGTCGAATGGTCTCATCATAAAAATTCTATATTTATCTGTGATCATCATGCACCATTTATTAACAAATTCTTTCGTATAAAATTGAACTTTCCTTTAAACTCAATCAAAAAATAAAGAATAATTATTTAAAGATTGGATTTATTTTGTCAATAAACAAGGAAATAAAAATCATTTACTGTTTTTAACATTTAATCGTCAAACTAAATAGTAATTATTTCTATTCGCCTAAATTCTTAAATTTAATTTTATATCGTTTGAAATAAATCTTTTAGAAAAATTAAAGAAAATATATGAGAAAAACATTTGAAAAAATTTTCTAGTAAACACTCAAAAATATCTATCAAAAATCATTTGTATTCAATTCAATCAATTTCTCCAAATGATTTGTGAAAAAAAATTGTTCTATTGAAATTTATCTATTTAAGACAATTTAGAATGACTTTCAAATAAATCTCTATATTTAAAATTAAATTTTTGTTCAATTGAACCTTTTTTCAATATTATTTCCTATGAATTTTCATTCAAACGATTATGAACAAAATTCGAAAAAAAAACCAACCAAAACGATGTTTATTATAATAATTTAACGAAAGATAAGAGATAAATTTCATAAATATGGTTATTTCTTCTTGTAAACAAATAAAATTTTCTATCATATATCATATTAATATTAAAGGCTATTCAATAATAAAAAGAAAGAATAAAAAGGTCATGCTATTTTTCATTGTTTTTCGTTCATCATCTAATAAGACAATTGAAAAAAATATCATTGTTTTCATTGACGATATCGGTCAAATTAAAATCAATGAATAGAACACATACATATATATATATATGTCAGCGTCCATACTCGGATTCCGTCCAATCTCAGATTCGCCTGAAAATTGAGCGTACAATCTCAGATTGGCCTAGGCGAATCTCAGATTGACCTGATGAATTTACGTCCAATCCGAGATTGGACGGAATCCGAGTTTGGACGCCAACATATATATATAGTATTAGAAAAGTAGATATATATTGATCAACAAACATGAATGATTTGTTGGTTCAATTGGATGATTTACCCGATGAAATTCTTATGTATATATTTAAAAAATTGTACAATGATGAAGTGCTTTATTCTTTAATGGATGTTAATCAACGACTCAATAGAATTCTACATGATAGAATCTTTACTCGTCATTTACGTTTACTAAAATATTGTCGAATCGACAATTCTACCATTCCATTACCAGATTCAATACTTCATCGATTTTGTTCAAAAATTTTACCTAAAATTGGACATCAAATTGAAACTCTTTATCTTGAACGAACATCGATAGAACGTGCTCTTCATGCTACAAATTATATTAATTTAAAGAAACTTGGTTTATGTGATATTCAATACAAAGATGCTATGTCTCTATTTACTGGTAAGAGATTTTCTTTTATTGATTTCACTGTAAAATTAATTAGTTACTGGAATAACAACTTATTTAGTTAATAGAATTAAATATTTATGATTAACCATCATCGAATAATAGAAATTCATTTTTTATTTCTCGTTTATTTATTAGAAAAAAAACATCATTCATAGGAATTTCATTACGAGAAAAAGGATTTAATCGTTCATTTGTATAAGAAAAAAAAGATATTGATAATATACTCAATTGAAATTTGTCAAGATTAATACAGGAAATGTAGAAAGTCTAGAAGATAAACAAATCAATGAATGAGATAGAACACAATATTAATCACATACAATGTAATCTATGAGAGAAGTTAAAAAAAAGAACATCACATATATGGGTGAGAATGTTGTGAAAAATACAAAATCTTAGATATTTTAATTGAATGAATAGAAAGAGATCTGAAAAATATTTTCATTTTAAACTTTTATTTAGAGAAGAATCCTTTAACCCATATATTCAAAAATCAAATTAGATCACTCTTTACCAATTTTAATAAAGAAAACATATCGTCTCCATTGGGAGGTCTCTCTCCAATTATATTTACAAAAATTTTGACAATATTTACTAATTTACAATGCTTAAAATTCAATCCATCGGCATCTTATCTTGACGCTTCAGTTTTACATATGGCGGATGAAACTGCCATCTGTTCAACTTTATTAGAATTACATGTCACTGTGGCAAATATGGAAGACTGTCTTTATATATTGGATGGGCGTTTTGATCAACTTCGTATACTTTATGTTACTTTTTATGGTAGCTTTCCTGGCTTTTTCAACATTGAACATAAGGTAGGTTATTTTTATTAATATTTTGTTTAAATGAATCCATATTTGTTTCCATTGTTCAGGAAAAGCTACTACCAAACTTACGGATTTTTTCTTTGTACTGCAAGCGCCAGATAGATGATTTTGATGAATCAATTGTAGCACTTCTACGTCGAATGTTAAATTTAGAAGAACTTGATTTAAATATTCAAGTTCAATGTTATGAAAAATTTATTGATGGTGATACATTGAAGAAAGATATTATTATTTATATGCCACAATTATATAAACTCACATTTAATATTTGCTCAATAATTAATCATCGTGATCAAACTATTTTTCCATTAAATGAAGATATTCAAAAAACTTTTAAATATTTTTCTAATCAAATAATTACTTGTATTGATCATTTTCAAGAAGAAGGATGTAGTCAATGTCATATTTATTCATATCCATATAAATGGAAAGTTTATAATTATATAACAAATAATTTTCCAGGTGGATTATTTACTAGTGTTACTCAAGTATCATTATATGATGAACGTCCATTTGAACATGAATTTTTTCTTCGAATTCAAAAATCATTTCCATATCTGAAAGAATTAACAATAAATAATCGAAAAGCACAAAATAACAAACAATTAATAAAATTAAACAACGATTATCAAATATTGTCAATTATTGAATATCCATACCTTACTCGACTTAATATTATTAAGACTCATGATGATTATGTTGAATTTTTTTTATTTGATACGAAAATCTCTTTGCCAAATAATCTTCATCTATGTGTCGATTATCAATCATTGAAAAGAGTGACATACGATTTTACAAGATATATAACACGAAATCATTCTTCAAAACTTGCTGCTCTTTATTTGTCTACATTGGATCAAATCGATGAACATATTAAAAACTATTTCCCTCATGCATATATCAGTTGTTTTGCTGATTTTGTATTATCTAACTAAAAAAAAGAAAAATAGATTTATTTTATATGGAATGAAATGATTGAAAGAGACAAAAGAGAATGAATAAAGGTAACAATTTCAAAGAAAAATCAAATAACAGATAGAGTTCCATCCAAAATTGATTGTACAACTGAGAAATAAGCTTCTATATTTACAATAGATCTTGAATATTGCTTAACTATTTGAATTTTAAATGTTCTATCATTATATAGCTTATCTATGGTATTGATTTTACAGATCAATTCTTTCTATCTGTCAATGAAAGATGTTCACAAAGAGAAAAGGATGATATCTTCGACGATTTTCTTTCTAATGTCCTACATGAAAAATGCTTAATGTTTATTGTCAATTCCTATTTATTCTCACTAGTCAAAATAAATAACATTTATTGGTAAAGAATATACGCAAGCCTAAAAAAATATTATCAAATGAATTCCTTCAGTCACCTTGTGTTTAAAAGATGGTCTATTCAACTTTGACAGAAGATGATCGATTTTAGTTGGAAAAAATTCTATAGTCATTTGTTCAAATGATTGACATTAGCTCCTTCTATAATAAAAATATTAGATTTGGTTCATAGGTAAAAATAAGATAAAGATAATGATTTTTTCTTTTATGACATTTTAATAGAAATCAGAAGAAAATTCTATTTTATATTAAATATATTTAAGATAATATCAATTCTGAATAGTTCAAATATGCCAAGTAATTATTGACGAAAAAAAAGAGAGAAAACTAAGACCTTCTTCTTCGGTAGAAAACAATAAAGATCATATTGATTTTAATTAAAATAAAAATCAAATTCATAATATGTTACATATAATTAACTACTGGATGGAAAATGATTTATATAATGTGCAAGTGCTAATAGACTTTTAAACATAGAAATATCTTTTAAAATCCATATTGTATCATCTAAAAGATATCTCGCATGATATTATCACAAATAAATTGGATGTAAGAAATTTCGAATATGCCCATCATTAATTAAATCATCTGTTACACACAAGTAAATATGTATTTCGTATGTATAATAAAACTAGTGGATCAATATAGCGATGATAAATTATTGACAAATATATAAAAACGACTATTATTCAACATTTATTATCTGAACATTAGCAATAAAAACAGTTTGTGCATATGTTTATGATATACAAGTATTTAATGAAAAATAAAATTCTTCATGAAAAATATTTCGAGGAGATTTATTTGATGAATTATCTAATAAATAAATGAGAAAATGATTGAACAAATTCTTGATTAAGACTATTTTTGTCTATTGATTTTAATATTAGAAATGAGATCTAGATATTTCTGCAAAACATTTCTTTCAATTTGAATCAATATAATGAAAATAAAACAATAAGTAGATGCAATATTTCTTCTTTTCGTCTTCTTTTATTTTATAAATGGAATAAGACAGACAAACAAGGAAAAAAAGAGAGACAGAAACACAACAAAAAAAAAAATCACGATCATTTTTTTAATTTATTTAAAATGTTTACAACTCTCTTCAACATATGTAATGTTGAAGTTAGTACAGATGAGCCTGAAGCATTAATTGCTAGATTATCGTTTGACAAAAACTGAAAGTGTTGCATTAAATCATCTAAATCTTGACCATGAACAGCACCGCTTAATAAAACAATCTTTTTGTATTGTTGAATAGCTGTTTGAAACGATGTTTTTGTTAATAATTTATCAATTATCGGATCGATAATTGATTCATTTGTTGTATATCCATATAATAAAAGTGACCATTGTTCAGGTGTCATATAAAAACCTTTAACATATAAAAATATTTATTAAATATAACTTGAACAAAAAAAAAGTATATTTACCACATTGCATAGACATTTCAATAATTTTTGAATCATATACACGGCGAAGACTTTCATATTTTTGAAATGCTGGTTTAAGTTGCATTGATGAAGATTCTCCAACTTGTTCTATCTAATATTAAAATAAAACCTTCAGCTAGAATCATTTCTTTTTTTTTTATTTTTATATATTTACTTCAAAGCAAGGTACATCCAAAAGTAAACGTACAATATATTCAACACTTGGTTGAATGTTTTTTTTGATCTTTTCGTTGTACTAATTGTGTAACAGAATACATAAGATGTTGTTCGGATGATATTCCACTACATTTAATTAATAGAATAATTAATTTTAATATCTTTTCTTCTATTGCTAAATCAATAAACAATGATTAAGATTAGGAAAAAAAATTAATTTGAAAAAAAAAATCAAACCTGGTTCAGGAAATTGACCTTGTTGTAAACCAAGAGCCGACTCAAGATTATTTTTTAATTCTTGAAGACTTTGATAATGAAGAATAAAATCAATACATACATTTTCACCAAGATTACGTGCTGCTTGAATAAATATTAAAAAACCTTCATTATTAATATATTGACTATGTAATAAACTAAACATTGTTCGTATCGTTGAACGACTGAGTATTGATTGATATTTTTTATTATTAACTAAAAAATAGTCACATAAAAAATGACATAAACTTTTTCTTTTTCTTACTTATTTGCATAATTACAAGTGATATTTCACCAAAACCTTTTTCAATATCACTAAAATATGATTTTTTTTGATCATCGAATTCCATATAAGATCGACATTGACCCTAACGTTGTTTATGATCTTTTCCCTAGACTGAAAGGCTAGGGTCTAGAAACCGAAATTCACCTGTGTCTGTCTGTCTGTCGGTAACGCGGCCGAAATGGCCATTTTTTTGGCACATGTGACCATTTTTTTGGCGCAAACGACCATTTTTTTGGCACAAGCGACCATTTTCTTGGCACAAACGGCCATTTTTTTACTAAAATTAACTAGGTAACTATGGTACAAATGAGCATGTAACTATGGCACAAACGGTCATTTTTTTGGTACAAACGACCACGTAACTATGGCACAGGTGACCATATAGCAACCATAGTACAAACAACTATTCCGGTAACTATGGCACAGATGACCATATAGCAACCATGGTACAAACAACTATACCGGTAACTATGGCACAGGTGACCATATAGCAACCATGGTACAAACAACTATTCCGGTAACTATGGCTCAAATGACCATCTAAAGACTGATGTAAATGAACCCATAATAATCATCGATAAAATGTGTCAATGAAATAACTATAATTCGGGTAGTGGTGTAAAACGGCTTACAAAAGCATTTAATTAGTCAGAGTCAGACCAAATGAGCAGTATGGATTTAAAGAAATCGTTTAAATTATTCATCATTGTAGGATTGATTGTGCAATGTTGTATCAATGAATATCTAATTTATTAATAGTTTAGAATTAATGCGCGAATTGAAGCATAAAATATTGATTAATAAAACTCAAATTTTATGAATAATATAATTCATATTTTTGTACGTACAAATAGCGCCAATATAATTACAAAAAATCGTATTCTTGTGTAATCTTATTGAGCGCTATTCATATTTATAAAAGCAAAAAAAAATAAAACAAAAACAACAAAAAAAATAAAATTTGTAAAATGCATTATCTTTACTTAGAGTGAGAATTCTCCGAATTAAGTTTTCTGCTCGCCTAAGATATACTGGTTATATTATCAATTTTGCGTATTACTTTTTGAATGTAGCTTTTTATGCTATTACATCCGTACATGTATTCTATCAGTCTAGGGCTAAGTGAATCGCTTGACGATGAACGTTACTTGTAGGTAACTATATTTAAATAAAAAGAAAAAAGAAAAAAATCTTTTTTAGTATTTAATAATTAATTTAAATATTTACTTCTGATGAACGATAAATCATCATTAATAATGGATAATTTGTTGGTAATTGATCAATTGGTGTATTTTCAAATGAAACTTGATCTTGTGGACATTCTTTTTGACCACCCATTATATTAATACATTGTTTACACATTGTATGCCCACATTTAGGTAATGTTATTGGATGATATAATGGATTTTCATATTCAAAATTTTGTGAACATGCAGCACAACGTAAAAATTCGATATAATATGATCGAACTGTTGGATTTGAAAGATCCATTTCTATTCAATATCTAAAAATAAATAAAGAAAATGTTTGTTATTAGAGGATCAATTCTTTCGGAACTTTCTGAATCTTTATTTCAAAAAGGAATACACACACACACACACACATAATGACGAACGACTACATATAACAAGCACATCCTGCATTTCTCGTTCGAAAGAAAATACACCTATACATATAAAGGGTGGTCCAGAAGTCCTTACTCGATTTGAATATTAAATTTTTCTTTAGCAAAACACATGGTTGAAAATTTGTCTCTATAAAGAAAAGATGCAGTAAAACACGCTCTACAAAATGGCTTTTGATTGACCCTGCTAGCTCATATAGTAAGAAAGTTATAGGCTTAGAGATGTGCTTCACAAAAAAGAAAAATTAACCATGAACCTTCTCCGTATGATCTGCTTTAAGTAAAAGTCCCGTAACTTCATCAAACGAAGAAAATTTTCGATCAGGTTTGTTCTGTTTTAATCAGAAATGATTGCTCTTCTCTAACTAACTACAAAATCAAGCTTCCATCATGTTTTCTGTTTCTTGCTTGGGTATATTGTCGGGAACGGGGTTTGCCACTTTTGAGACTTCATTCTCGAGCACACCATCTGCTCTAAAAAAGTCTTTCTACAGACCAGGAGAAATAGTACATTCAAATCTATCGAACTCAAACTCAGTTCTCACTTTTGCTAAGCTTCTTCACGGAAATAATAAGAGAAGAAAAAGTTTCGGTTGAAAAAAATACCGAATTTACCATGTTTTCATTTTTTTTCGTCTGCCATATAATTTCCTTAGTTTTCTTGATTGAAGTTCTGAAATAAAAGTTCACGTATGTTTTTGTAAAGAATTTCATGGCGCTTCTATTAAAAAAACGAATTTGTTCTAGGCGACCTATGGAACAGGAGTTCGAGCAAAAATACCGATATCGGGTTCACCGTTAATTTTTCTTTTTTGTGAAGCACATCTCTAAGCCTATAACTTTCTTACTGTATGAGCTAGCAGGGTCAATCAAAAGCCATTTTGTAGAGCGTGTTTTACTGCATCTTTTCTTTATAGAGACAAATTTTCAACCATGTGTTTTGCTAAAGAAAAATTTAATATTCAAATCGAGTAAGGACTTCTGGACCACCCTTTATGTATTATAAATCCAGGGTAGAAAAAAGAAGAATGAAAGACAACAAAGAGAAAGTAATATATATGATCGTATGATATGATGTAAGAAGAAAGAATGGTATGATATTGAAAGACGAGAAAAAGAGAAAGAAGAATAGCTTTCAAGGCAAGTTGTTTTCGTGTATTTTTGTTTAATAAATAAATAAATCGTACTTAGTAGTTTAAATAGATGACTTGTTGCATATGTGTTGTAATAATGATGTCAGATAAAATTCTTTCTTTCTATCATCACTTAGTGAAGAAATAGATAGCAGAGAGAGAGAAAGAGAAGAAGAGGATGCCGGCGATCGTATATGTGTTTTCACTTTCTCTCTCTCTTTTTCTTATTTCTTTTGCTTCACATATATGAGATGATACTTCTAAGTAGTCGTAGAACATTTCATAGAATATATAATTGAATTTGTTCTGCTATTCGTCATGTATCTGTATATTACCGTTTTAAAGATAATTTAGATAGAAAATTAATGAAAACGACACTTAGCTTCTTTTTTTTTATTTAATTAAAAAGAAAAAGGAAAAAGAAGAAAACAAAGTTTTCCTTTTTTTGAATTTTTCTGTAGTAAAAAATTAATTTTGTTTCCAAGAATTGGCATTTTCTATAATAGGTCATTGTAAATTATAATACCATGTTTGAATAATACTTAATGGAACAGTTTGTTCCAATATTTGAGAGAAACATTTTGAAAAAATAATCTTATATAATAAACAAAATTATTGAAGCATTTTTGATAGAAATTCAATATTTAATGTAACTGTTCATGGTGTTATATTATGTTGTTGAACTTCTTGTTCAAATTATGCTAAAGGTTCAATATTTATACCTAATAAACCATCACTTGGAATAGTTGTTTGAGTGTTGAAACTGCTAAATAGTGTTGATATTAATGATGAACAAGCTCTCGATTACATTATCTTATATACAAAAAAAAAACAAAAAAAAACAATACTTTAAAAAGAAAACCTTTTATTTTATCGATTTTAAAAATTTCACTTGGTTTTGAATTTTTTATTTTTTGTAGATAAATCTATGATTGTCCTTTTATACTTGACCAACTAAAATAAAATAAAAACGAACAAAAAAAAAAGTATCAATAAAAAATAGATGGGTATGACCAAACGTTATGGAATTTCGTTTGTTTACATTGTAATACGTATATCTCCTCAGTAGTAAAAGCTAACTCTTTGAAATTTTTATCATAGACAGAGACTATTAAGTTCTACTACTAGTAAAAATTTCATCGGCTTTTTGCATAGCTAGAGTTAAGTTATTCCAAACATAGTGACCGTTACGGAATTTCAAAAAAAATGGAATATTTTTTGAGGATGATGTGAAAGTTGAGCATTTTACTAAGAATCGGAGTGACATATAAATAACTGTTTTACGTACGAGTTGTTCAGTTCTCCACAAGCTATCATAATATCACGTTGTTTGCTAACAACTATGACTGCATAGAATAAAAAACTAAAAATACTGTTCGTTACAGAATTTCAATCGTTACGGAATTTCACCTTTTTTTCACGTTTCAAAGCCGAAGGTTTGAGGACCTGAAATTTTTCAATTATCATGATAAAATTATGTCTTTTTCCTGAGTTACGAGTAGTACAAAGACGTAGCTTCTGAAAAGTGATACTTTTGAAAAAAGCTAACAGCTACTTAATGAATTCCTATAGCTACTTAATGACTTTTTATACCCACTTTATGGTTTCCTGTAGATACCTAATCATTCTACAGCTACATCAAGTTTTGCTTTAATTATTAAGACATCCCACGTTTATTTTAAGTTGGTGTGCGTATTTGGAGTTTAGATAACGATTAAAAGACTCCGTAACCATTTTAACATACTACAGTGGTTAAAAACCTCGTGGATAATTATAAAAACCATTGTTATTTATAAACTAATTGCCATTTAAACGATATGAAATATTTCCTTCATTATTTATAGCTATTATAACCTTTTCATGGCTATAAATATGATTTCTTAAATATTGAAAAGCTTTATACTTACGATTATTTGACTAGCTAATAGATCTCTAAGATATTTGTATTTTTTGCCTGTGGCTCACAACTTAATATTGTGCTCTCTTTCTTTTTCTTGCTACTATGTATAGGTAAAAAACCTATCATAATCTCACAAAGAATCTATATCTGAATGGCTCATAATATTATGAAGAAGAATAAATGAAATATTTTGAAAAACCAATATGTCATAAAAGCCATTATTTTTAGAATTTTTTTAAAACCAAGTAGCAAACAAAATTATAAATATTTGAATTCTTTATTACAAACCAAATACGGATTCCAATTACGAATATATGAATTTTTATTTCATAAAACGCTTCACCGATTTAGATTAAAGAAATCAATATTCTTCTACAAACCAAATAGACATTGAAGCTATTAATATTTAGACTTTTTTGACGAACCTCTTGCGCTAATTAAAGTATTAAAAAGTAATTCAATTCATGAATATTTTTATGAACCCAATAGGAATTCAAATTGTGAATACTGAAGTTTTTTATTTGAATTTTTTAAGAAACCTAATGATGAAACTTAATCATTAATACGAAGTCAAATCATAAATATTTGAATTTTTTCCTTGAACCATCCCCCTGCTCAAACTATATCATTAATAAGATTCATTTTATGAATATTCGAATATTTTAACGAATCCCATAGCTATTTATATTTTGAATATTTGGATTTTTCATCAAAACCAAATTAAAATTAAAATTATGAATATATGAATTCTCCCCACTTCAACCGCCCCATCATTAGGTAGCTATAGAAATAACTCGACATTTTTTTATTTTATATTCAAATTGATTATTTCTTCAATCTTGAAAATGAAAGTCATGATATTGATAAATTATGTCCAAGGAAAAATACAAAGAAGAAAAATCGATTTGTCAATCATATAAATTATTCTTCTCATATACAAAAATTATTTGGTGTTTCATAATTAAAGTATATCAGCATAAAATGTAGTATAATAATAACCATCTGTTCCTGTTAATAACGCTTGAAATGATATAGTATAAGTTGATCCAGGTGTAGTTGGAAAATATTGACCCAAAAAATCAATATCAGGACCAAGACAACTGTCCGAGAAACAATTACCAACTCCTGAATAACAATCTGTACCGGATATTAATTTTCCACTTGTACCATAATGACAGTGAGATGAACACCATTGTGTCCAATCAGATAGTGATGTACTTGAACTTTCAAAACTTGGATTGTTAAGTAATTGAACAGAAGGAGCAGCATTATCAACAATTGATACTTCATCGATAAGCCATGTACGATTGATAGCTGCTTTAAATCCAAATATAAGAATATGTTGTAAGCTTGTTGCTGTATATGTATAAGAATAAAGAGTCCAAGTAGATGAAGCATAGCCACTTAATAATCCTAGATTGCCATGACCACGACTCGAACATCGAGTTGCTATTCATTAATTGATAATTTCTAGAAAAGTTCTTAAAACTAAGAATGAACACTCACTTGTTTCAGTTGTAGTAGTTGTTGTTGTAGTCGTAGTATCAGTCGTGATACTTGTAGTTGAAGTAGTTTCTGATGTAGTTGATGATGTACTTGATGATGTACTTGATGATGTGGTAGTTGTTGTATCTGTAGTAGTTGTAGAACTCGTGGTAGTTGTTGTAGAGCTCGTGGTAGTTGTTGTAGATCTCGTGGTCGTTGTTGTAGAACTCGTGGTAGTTGTTGTAAAGCTCGTGGTAGTTATTGTACTTGTTGTGCTGGTAGTAGTTATAAAACTTGTAGTGGTAGAACTGATTGAAGTGCCTAGAACAGCAAGACTATTAATCTCAATATATAATACTGGACACAATTTTTCTGACGGTTTTTTAAATATACTCAGTGTTTATGTTATATCTACAAAAAACTCCCTAGTCACAATGGAGTTGAATAGATAAGAATCGGAAATAGACAATTATTGTTGGACAAAATTGTTTTTCGACAATATTTTCAATGGACTAATTGTTTTTTTCGACAATTGTTAAAAAAAAACTTAAAGAATATAAATAGAAAGAGCAATATACGAGTTATATTTTGATAACTAAAACTTTCTCAAAACAAACAGTCTATAAATTGAAATGCTCATCTAAGACAGAGTTCAGATGAACTCTTTATCATTTTTATATAATGAGCCATTTCTCTATGGAAATAACGTATTCGAAAATGTGTCTGATACTGAAAATTTATCAGATAATGACCTCTCAACATCTAAAAAGATTTTTTGAGGAAACTTGAAATCACCTATTATCTGATGCAGCGACACACACTCTTTCGAATACGATCTATCAAGAGAAAAATTTCACATGAAGTCTATCATAAAATGAGTATTTCTTTTTGCAGACTTTGTTTTAGAAAGTTTTAATAGTCAATGTATAGCTAATATTTTTCAGTTTTTATTCACATGGTTTTCAATTCTTCTAAACAATTGTCGAAAAAACTAATTATACAATTTAACAGATAGTCGGAAAAAGTTTCATCCAACAAATATTGAAAACTTCATATTGTTATACATTCAATTCCACTATCCTTATAAAATTTTTGGTGCACATAGCATAAATACTGACAATGAAACCGTTGCAATTGATTAAGAATTTTCTAGTTCAGACTCTATAAATAAGATAAACTCTCGTGAAACATGAAAAGTTTCAAGAAAATTGAATGATGATATTTTGATCTAAAATTTTTCTCACAGATACATCTAGTTGTGACTAGGATGTTCTAAACATCTCGATTCAAAAGAATGTTTCTTTTGTGAAGTATTGAATTTCTAAAAAGTCTGAGATTTTGCAACATATTGCAGAATATGAGTGGTCTTTGGAAATTCAATATCCTACGGAGGGAACATTCTTTTGAATTGAGATTTTCAGGATATTCTATTTAGTTAAAAAAAGAGATGTTTAACGACATATGTCAAAAATTTCTTGTAGTAGTAAAACACTATCAAATGATTCAATCAAAATTTACATCTAATAGAACTCTATTGATTATTGTAGAATTCATTTCGAAAAATAGTTCATCATGAATAAAGTTTTAAAAGTCATTTATTTAAATGTATTTTCTTATTTATAGACTTACTTGTCGTCATGAGAGTTGTTATTGAAGTAGTCGATTTTGATTGTGCTATAGTTTTAGTAATAAAGATTTTATATGATCAACAAAATTAATGATTACATACATAATTTAGTAGCAAGAACAATGCCAGCAATTGAAGTTAGAATTGCAGCTATAATACCGCCTATCAGCAAAATTATACAGATTCGACGAGGTGGAATTAATCTAATTAAATAGACAGAATTAAACAAACGGAAAACTTTTCTTTTTTTTTTTTTGTTTCGATAGAAATAATAAAATTTAATATTAATCGTGATTTATAAAACAAAAGAAAAAACAATAGAGTCTTTAATAGGATCTTTTCTATTGTTTAAATGGGTCGTACTTCAAGAGTATATTATAACTATCATCTAGAATTTCTTAGGTTTTTCATATTTATTATCAACTTGTGTCATGTACATATTAGTTTGAAATCATTTTATATAAATGTATCTGGCAATAATGTGCAAATATTCTAATATGCATGTGACACATATTGATAATAGATTTCAAATAGCTAGAAAAGTTCGGATTACAGAAATACTGGAGCGGACTTTAGTTGGCTTTATTAGTCTCTATGAAAGGTTTTATATCTTTGATTAGTTGTAAAATTCCGTAGTGCTAAACAGTACGTCTCAATGAAAATACATGCTGCTGAGTATTAGGGAATGTAACAACTAATTAAAAAGATATGTGTTATTTATAGAAATTAATAAGGTTAATTTAAGCACGAATCATAATCGCAGCCATTCAAAAGTTCTAGAAAATAGCTTAGACATATCGGTGGCATACCCTGAAGTAAGAAATTTTCGCTTTTTTTCCTCGACATAAACACATCTTGTATCAAACAAAAAATAAAACATTGTGAAGAATAAAACAAAAATTTTATTTTGCATAGTTTGTTTATATCTTTTCCTCTCTATGAACTGTTTATTTAAGATGTGACTTACGAATAAATACCTATCAAAAGTATATAGAAAATATTGAAGGAAAACTAAATGGGAAAGACAATTCTCAAGTTTTATACAACTAAAAAAAAACTAGACTGAACAAAAAAGAAGAAAAAAATTAACTTGTGATAATCGTGAGCGAATGATTGATAAAATTTCTAAAACACTTGATGAAATAATCATAAATAGTAGAGAATAAAAACATGCTAGTCGACTGAGAGTTTTTGTATAAAGAGTGTCCTAGACATGTTCGGTTACAACGAAAATTAGTTTATATGTAAACAAAGAGTGATTTCTATACAACTATATCTACATTAAGGTTCGAACACTGAGAATATTGTTTAGTATGGGAGTATAGAAGATAGCCACACCCAGAGCATAGATACTAGGTATTACTCGGTATAATTGAGTTACATTATATATACGATGAATTCACAGTTCATTAAAACTTCTTAAAATAATACTGATCGGCTTCGAAATTGTAATTAACATGTTTCTTCTGTTTATATTACTATTATTAATAGAGATAATATCATTACAAACCTTGTTCTAAATGCCTGAAGCTCACAGAGAGTGTCGAATAGTATAATGTTTGTTTCTTTTTCTTAATTAAAAAAAATCTTATAAATCGATTTCGAGAGATTAAATATTTTTTTCTTATATTTACGTATAATTTTTCTTATCAGAGAAAATGTCAGTTTATATTATATCATTTGAAATATCAACATGAATATTGTAAACTTCATATAGATCATACATTCAATTAGAAATTATTTTCTGTATACATAAAAATTAATTTTTCTAGTAACTGTAAGTTTTACTTTCTTCTCTATACAATATTCTTTTACCGAATATTTTATTCAATGTACATTGTATTTGATCATACTTTACACTATAGATCTTTTTGAAAGTTAGCATTTTTTTTTTACTTTTTAGATGCAGTACGTGTTCCTGTTGGTCTATTAACAGCAGTAAATGCATTTCCAATTTCTGGTAATGTTAATGGACTTTGTACAACACTTCTGGTACTGAGTGCTGACTAGAAGATATAATCCACATTAAAATTTCAAATTAATTTTTCCTTTACAATACACTAACCGGTGTTGTTCGTGATGCATTATCTTCAAGATTTTGACGTTGATAAATGCTCACCCGTCTAACATCAGCTTGATAAGGACCCACCGCGATATGAGATAGTTGCATATTTAATTTATATATTGTGTTATTACCAATTGGATAATATAACTCGAAAATCAACTTGAGATCGCTTCTATTCAATTACTCTGTCATAAAAGGTTTCAATCCTTCTGAAAAAATAAATCAATAGAAATAGAAATATTGATAATTTTTTTTTTAAAGAATCTCTTCATTGTTTTTTTTTTTCGAATCGATCGATGAAAAACAAAAAAAAATTAAATAGAAAATGAAGAAAAAAAAAGGTGTGACATTCCTGGCATTACAAGGAGTACTTGACGTAGAAATCAATGCACAGAAAATATATACAGGTTTCTTTTCTATTAATTCTATACATCAATATTACTACTATCAAGCCAATAGTCAAAAAGACATTGATTTTACTAGAAAACTTATTTAAACATATGTTCGTGTTGAAGAAATATTGGTATGAAAGCTATATAATTGATTAATTGGTTTATCAAATGAAAAGTGAAATGTGAATTTTTCTGTCATAAACGAACAAAATATAATAAGCATTTTCTAAATGAAACAGAGAAAATTGATACTAATGTCGACTTTCAAAAAAAAAAGGTGAATGGATATTTATTGAATAGCTTCTTATAAGAAAAGATAGTACTACGGCTTCCATCATTTGAAAGAGGTGATAAATTTGCATTAACTCATGTAGATTATAGTTTCTCCTAAGATATTTTCTGAAGTTTCTTTAATCGAGTTTATAACAAAAAGTGTCCAAAAAACAGTTTCATTTTTAACAAAAGAAAAAAATGTGATTTTGTCATAGCTAATGTTTGAAAACCTGCCGAGAACTTTGACTCAAATACCTATGCCTTCTGAATAACTGAATCTAAAAATCTGAGGCTTGTGTAGTTTTGTAAATCTTTCATTGGTAGTGCGAACACACACCTGATTATTGAAAATTCACTGTAGTGTCACCTCACAGGATACGTTGGTTTTCAGAAAGATCTGTTGAAAATATTTTAAAAAGCGAGATCGAAAAATTTGTAATATATAATTCGATGCGTCTTCATCTTCTTTTGCTCAAGATAAAAGGTGCAGTTCTCTATTTTTTTCCTATCAAAAGTTATTGAAGAAAATCTTATCTGTCTTTTTTTTTTGAAATGGACATTAATAATCTAGAAAGTAGATATTAATTTTACATGAGTTTGTTAATCAATTACTATAAAATCTATTGTACGAACTTTTTTAAATCTTGAATATCTATGATTATTATTTAATAAAGAAAGTGTCAATATTATTATGATCGATTCTGAAGTCTTGATCGAAATCCATAAAAAGAAAATCTAGTTATTAATGGTACACTTATTTGATTTTTTCGTTGAACACTAGATCTTCTTTTACAAATATGCATGTTTGAACAAAAGCCTGTATTGTTCTTTTTTCATGATATATTTTTTTCTATTTATAAGCAGTATAAATCATCAAGTGATAAGCGTTAATATTAGTAATAGAGGTGAACAATACAAATAAAAGATCGTATAATTATTAGTTGAAAGATGATTCACGATTATTATTTTTTTGGATGATACAAAAATATTCTTTTTTATATATTCAATAAATAAATAATCGAATGAATTTTTGTCTTCCAACAAAAATCTTGATTAGAATAAAGATGCTGAATTCAAGTACACACAAGAGAAAACAGAAATAAAACATAAATAAAGAAGGTAGCGAAAAAAACAAACAACTACAGAATCCTTAGAGTGCTTACAAAAAGAAAAAAAATTAATTAGATATGTGCACATACATGATTTTATTCATTTTTACAATATATGAAACAAAAGTCAAATAAAGAAAGACTAATCAATGTATTTCATTAATATAAATAAACTTCCTTATCAGCAATATGTGACTTAATTTAATAAAAAAAAGCCTAGCAAAATAACTACGATAAATATTAACTATTGTGTGATAGAAATGATCACAACTGTCCTTTTTTGATATTATTTATTAATCCAAACAATTAATAAGTATTTGTTGAACCTTGCAATGTAATTTAATGAAATCATACTGTTTGAGAATACAGATGGGTGTGGGTGTCAATGTGAGGAGTAGACTAACTAATCATTACTCATACCCACGCCAACACTCGCACTCTAGTGTGTCGTTCTTCTGTTTCAAAATGGTTTCTAATCATGAAATAAAATTATTTTACTTAGTGTATATTATTTTGAGATATATAAGACTTAAAACGTGAATGAAATATGAATGTTGACGATGCGCCAAATTTAGAACTAAAGATAAGAACAATGCGTCTATTTGATTTTGATATATGAAATAGACAAAATTTCGAAAAGTGAAGAAAATCATTGTTTAGCAAAGAAAATGGATAGCGTTTTACCGTAGAAAAATTTAGATTTAATGTAAAGAAAATATAATGAAAAAATTCTGAATATTGGTGACTTCTATCATAATTTGTCTATTGCTTTCATATTGGACACGACGTATTGAATATCTGAATCATTAGAAGTCTTAGAAAAATATAAGTGCAAAATATACGTCGATGAAAACCTACTTCAATGTATTTGAAATTTGAAAACTTCTTTCCATCACTTTCATATACTACAGATTCTAAGCAAAATATAACTCTATGTATTGCCTGCTGATAAATACAACATATATGTAACCAAACTCTGGTACTATGTATGCAGTTTTAGAAACAAGAATTACAAAATTGGTGCTCTGTGCTATCCTTAACTCAAGTTCAAGTATTTGCAGAAAAAAAATATTAACCATGGATATGAATAAACAAAAAACCACCGTACCCATATCCTGTATATGATACGATTTCCTTGCCGGATTTTTTTTAAGGATTTTCATAGACTTCTTTTAAAAAACATTCAACCTGTGAAATGTTTGCAGTGTATTTTTCATTGTTAGGTACAATTCAAATCGTCACTGGGATATCTAAAAAACTGGACAAGGTTCACATGTTTAGAGTTAATCATTCAGGAGTTGTAAGCATAGATGGCATCGGTACTGGCAGCCAGTCAGTCTACCAGTAAATATCAGTCTATCAACAAATGCTGGTCTGCCAATACTTGATCGACCATTCAATGAAACATTGTTTCACAGTGAACTTTCTTAGAATAGTGACTTTTATAATGAATCTAATAAATCTCAATAATTGTGTACTAACAGTAAATGTGCCATCTTTTAATAAAGAATAATAGCAATTGGAATGTTAATTTATTATATTAGATTAATATAATATATTGATATTCCTTTCACTGTATTTTTGTAGAAAACGGCACATTGAATATCCAGAGGTTGCAGCAGGGGGGTACGAAGAAAAAGGATTTTGAGAAGGAATTTTTCAAAAAAAAAGAAGGAAAGGAAGGAAAAGAAGAAATTTTCCGGAATAGTGCGCTGCAACGAATAGATTTTGTACGACATCCAGTAAGAAACAATACGACTGAGCCTAAGGGAGTAAAATAATTTCCAAATTATTATTTTGTTACGTTTCACGAACATTCTCCTAGTTTTATAGCGAATAATAACAGAGAACGAATTTCAAAGGCGAGCAGTTCTCTCCTTGATCGTGCGACGTGCATGAATGTTGTTGTCATCCCCATGTCTCAATGACTCTCTCGGTAGTTTTACAGATCATGCACATCCTCACCCACATGCATTGCTATGTTGTGTAGCGATCACAAATATTCGTACATGATCAATCTATCCATTAACAGGGTGCCAGAGATATGTGGCACCATCTTCGCTCTGTCCTTGAAAAAGAAGTATCACGGACAGTAGCTACTTCTATCTGCCACTTTTACACTAGCGGGACAAAGAGTTAGCCTAAACACACCATTCTGTCGCCGAGATGTAACAAGTTGAAGATGATTCGAAATTAAGCTGACTGGTTAATTTATCTCTTAGTGTCGAAAGGTGAATTAAACTCGAAATCATCTTCCAACTTGTAACAAAGTATTTTCCATCATCCGATATTTCTGACATATTCCGCTTAGATTGAGCTCAGGGGTCTGAATGGGATGGGATGGAATGGGACGAAAAAATCATCCCATGGGCCCACTTAATCTGTCCCATCCCATCCCATGGGACAAACCGTCTAATAAAAACATCTTTTTACGCCATGATTCGACTTCTATGACTTTCTTATTCAATCATCTCCGTTTCTCTTAACCACTTCCCGTTTACATCAGTTAATTGCCGTTTAGCTTTTTTATACTAAGCTCATAAACCCTACTGCTTTATTCAACAACAAAAATGCGGATCTAAGACCTTAGCGAACTTCAAAGAATACGATAGTAAATTCATCAGAAGCCATCGGATCCATCTGAATTTACTACACTCCACCAGAATCTAGGATCTGCTTTTTTCTTAGAAGATTTCAGCTGCATGTCGCTAAATATTAAGAAGTAATAAAACTTCTCCAGTTTATTCCTCATCCATGAATTCTCAGCTTCTGATGAGTTCAGTTAGTTTTCTCAGATTGCTAAAGGTCCCTGAAGATCGTTTCGTATTCTAGTGCAATCCAGTAGATTTCTACATATCTTTATGGGCTCTGACGAATTTTATAATTGTTGAGATTCGGCAGAGTCTATCAGAATTTTCGATCCACCTATTGATTTTCTTTAAACCAAACCTGGTAAAAAATTCGGCTGAAAATTAATTTGAAGTAGAGATAATAAAGATTCCTTATGGCAATGGCTTTTTTTTGTCCATATAATTAGAAATTACAGTGGCGGAATTATTTAAAAATTACACGAGCTTGAAGCACACAGAACTCCAGACAATCAGTTTCACTTTTCATGGTTTAAACTTCTGTAAAAACATTAAACGTTTTTTCATGAAAAAACATAAGAAGAAAGTAAGAAACGAAACTGTTTCTATTGAAAAAAGGCTAATAATGAGAGTATAATAAGCCCTATAATTCACCGTTTTTATGAAGTACCTTCAGTCCATCTTTCATCAAGAAAGAACCTGCATTTTTTCATGAGAAAAAAAGAAGAAAATCCAATAGGACGAGAAAATCGTTCCATTCTATCCCATGGGATATTTCAAAAAAACAACTTGTTCCATAGGATGAGATGGAAGGGAATGGTCCCATCTCAGTCGGAGCTCTGATTGAGATACCTTACGACTTCCTTGATCGGGATACGCTTTTTCAGGTTAGTCGTTCTGAATGGGATTTCTGTGTGATTTTTGTGTCCTCCATCAAATTGAATTAACTGGATAAGTTTCCAGTTTCTCGATCGATATGAAGTTCAATTATCACTTATGAATTCTTCGACCAGAAAAGTCCAAAGTCGCCTCTGAAACTCCAAATCGAACGAAAAACATATTAAGAGTTATATTAGTTCGAGTAGAGAAGTTCAAAATCATGTCTGGAGCTAATTTACCAAATTAATTTGCGCAGAAAGTTGAACGTTGATTTTGAGTTGAGTTGAAATAAACGTACTTGTACCACCCCCATTTCCGTGTATAAGCACTGTCATTGAGTATCAATGAATGTCAGTTGCCTTTCTGCTTTTGTTTATCAACAACGACATCAATAAAATTGCATCTTTTGTTATACTAAGCGACAATCTAACATTCTCGATTGAACATCGGTATGCCACGAAAGACCATTGGCACAGGCAGCTATAAGACTATGACTATGAGATGGCTCAGCTTCAGCTATGCTGTATCACTGAGTACATGTTCGAAATTTTTGACAGTAACCGTATTCTAGAGAAGCACCATTTTACGTATCTCAAGCTCTGTATATGCGCCCCACATGAACTGAGGCCACATATGCGTACCTTCGTCTAAGTATAACGAACTTTGCATTGGGCTTGAGGTAAATAAAGCATTTTCTAGAGCTCTGAGAGCTCCCTATCAGTGTCAAACTCTAAGAAAGTATTGCTAATCAGTTTTTCGATGTTTCTGAGAACCTATTCGTATGAAAAATAAAAAAAGAAGGAAAAGAAGGATTTTAGGAGTGAAGAAGGTCATTCTAAAAAAAGAAGGAAAGAAGGACCGCTGGGGGGCCTGAAATTATAGATGAGGTGTTCTAATATGTATTCATGCAATAAAACTTAAGATATTAATTATTTTGTAAAATTTTAAACAATGTAATCAAAAATTTTCGTCAACTCTAAGTAGTTTGTTATTTCTCTTCCTGTCAAACAAAAAATTCAAATCGAAAGCATGACACAAAATCTATAAAAGAATATAATAATGATGATTTTATGTAAATATGATTTTGATTTATTATCGGCTCTGTTATTTTTCGAGTTCGTTTTTTCTGTGATGCAGATTTATTTTTATATTATAGCGGAACTCCAAAAAAAAAATGAAACGAAATAAATGTTTCTTAGTTAATGGCTGATAAATTCCAGTTTTATCATATTATTGATGTTATAACATTGTGTTGTGTATTAGATGATGCCGACAGATAATTTTGCCGGATTGTTTCCAGCACTGACGCTCGCTCGCTGAAACCAGAATGAAATAGTATAACTTTGGCCAACTACAGCCAAAAACTTTTGAAGAAGATAGTCTCTACCACCACCACCACGGCATTCACTTCTGTAGCAATTGCCTGTTGTTCGACAACTACTACTAACTACAGTTCCTTCAGTACCACCATTACATGAACTTGAACACCATTTATCCCATCCGACAAGTGTTGCTCTATTATACATAGATATTTCATTCCAAAACACAGTGAGACTAATAACAAAACAAAACACTTACGTAACGTGGTAAGAAGTATAGCAATAATAATGGCAGCCAAAACAAGTGTTAAAGCAGTTCCAAGAATAATCCAGAAACCAAGTCGACGGCGAGAATATCGCCTAAATCGATCAGGTTATTGATAAAAAGTAAATTGAAACAAAAACATAATAATTCAGCAGAAAAACTAATCTCATAAGGTAGCGTGCTCAACTGATCAATTAATTTTGAGTTCAGATTCTGTACATAAGTTAAACTCCAGTGAGATATGAAAAACCTTAAAAGCATAAGTCTCTTTACACTTTTGATCCAGAGTTACAGACATTCTACCAGAATTTTAGTATCAATCTTGACATATAATAAAAACCGAGTGGGGGTGTTCGATCTGAGATTTTTTTTACAGACATGTCTTTTTGCCAGTATAATGCTTTGGAAATTTCAGGTCAAAAGAATGTTTCCTTCTCAAGATATTAGAGTCCCAAAAATGACTTATGTTCTACGAAAGATATTAGAATTATTGGGTTTATTGAGACTTTAATGTGTTGAGAAGGACATATTCTTCTGAGCTAAAATTTTCTGAGTATTATACTAATAAGTAAACATGTGTGTGAGAAAAATCTCAGGTTGAAATATTGTCTTGCAGTTTGTTATTATATCTCAAGCTAGATACTAAAATTTCAATAAAATGTCTATAATCATCTATTCACATGATACACATGTGTTTCTTTTTTTCAAAAAATAGAAAATAAATAGATTTTATAAAAAGCCGAATTCTTTTATCTGTGTACCATTATATATTGTATTTATCTTTTGTCTTCTTTCTTTTCTTCTTTTTTCCCATTAGCATTCGTAGGTGATTGTTCATTTTGTGGACATACAGTACTTTTCTGCCAAATTAAACTTTTTAAGAATGACTGTAATAGGTAAATAAAAAAATATTTTTATGCCTCAATAAGCAAATAATTTTACCGAAGAATTAAGATCATTTTGACTACTATCAGTCTAGAATAACAAAAGAAGAAATTAAAATATTATTGAAATCAAAAGCAAGATGAATTCGTAGACAAACCGATGAATACTTTAAATCAATGGTGATATCATTGAAGTCGCTGGAAACATTATGACGATATGGATGACGTCTAACACGAACTAGTCTCGGATCAACAAAGGTCTCTGGTGATTCCATCTTCTGTTATCCGTTTCGTTTACAGAAAGTAACTATAATAAAAATGCTTGTCCTTTTTATTTGATTATTTGTCTCAAATACAAAGGTTTCTTTTTGTTGAATGAATCTCCTATAAGAAGAAGTCTATAATTCAATGAATTTTGTAGTTTTCATATTTTTGTAAGAATAATACAAACAATCCGAAAATAAAGAAATATATGTTGATTCTCAGCATAATTAATCATATTTTGCTTTTTCAGACTTTGAATTAAATTGAATATTTGTTTCTTTTGTCTTCTTTGGACTTTATATGGCGTTCAGAAATAGATGAAATTTAAATAGAAAATATATAATATACTTGATTGTTATGTGTTATTCAATAAACTATTTCAAAAATTTCTAAATGGATTATTCTTTTATATTTAACAAGTAAAAAATTTATCTGATGATAATTTAGCATCAAATACTTTCATCAACGAAAAAACAAAATCTTTAAATGAGCAATAGTATTCTTTTCAATAATACAGATAAAAGCTATTTTTTTATTTTCGAAAAAAAATTTATTGACATCTTTTTCTTTCAAAAACTGCTTTCTCATGTTGTAAGCAACATTAATAGGTTGTTTGCCATTTGGAGATTAATTGTAGGTTTTTCAACCTCTTTTGAGAATTGAACCATTGAGAATCAAAAAGAAACTGATGTATTTGTAGAATTTCGCCGAATATGACACATTTGTTATCTTTTATTAGACTAAAACTAATGTCAATTATGCTTTCAAACATACTTCATAATCTTCCGAAAATTCATCTTAAATCTCCAAGTTTATTTAACATTATCATAAAATACTTCTGTTAGATTTTTGTTTTCTCATAGGCAACTTCATTCTCATAGTGATTGTTATTTGAAAAGGTTGCCTCAGAATATGTTACCAATCAAAACAAAACTTTGTACATTCGGCAGAATAATTTTATTATAAAAAATCAATGCCATGTTTGACTATTATAAGTATTCTGTTAACAAAAAAAACAAATGATCCATCTCTGACGTCAAAGAACAACATGAAAAAAAATTTTCTCAATAAATTAAATATGAGACACATCAACTATTGAATGTCAATTATCATCTAACAAATATTGCTTATGATTTTCTAATAAAACTTTCAATTTGTTTTCATACTATATTTTGTCTGAATATCCGATGAGAGAACCGAATGCATTAGATATAATGAAATAAGTTACAGAAAATAAGCTAAGCACAGTACATTATTCAAAACAATGATTCTAATAAACATCATATTTTTAATATACATTGTGAATTGCTTGAAACAGTTTACATGATTTACTAGCCATAGATTCCATAAAAAATATATTCTAATAAACGCTTTTCTTGAATGATCATTTGTTTCCTGTTGACCATTAAGAAGAAAAGAAATGAACAAATGAGTAGTATGGTGTGGATCTTCGATTCCGTTAACATTGACACCCAACTTCAAGAACATCTTTGTAAATAGAATTAATTAATATATCCATAACAATACTATTATCTTACATGTATCGTCTATTTCAATTATGTTTATAGATGAACGACGTTGTTGAGATAGACATATAAATACATGAATAAAAAATCAAATTAGTAGTTTAATATGAAAACTGAAATATCTTTGAGTTTAGTTTCAATAATTCATTAAGCATTTGAAAATAAAATATGACTGACAATATAATACTAGCAAACATTTAGACTTGTATAGATACAATAACAATATACGTACTTAATTACGAAACGATTTAAATGAAGATTTCACAGCAATTCATAGAAAAATGATACATTGTAATCAAGACAAACTAGCTTTAAAATATTCATTCATTTTTTTTTACAATATTGAACTTGATATTTCGTTTATGAATAGAAAAATTGATGGTAATTTTTACGTAAATATAATTTTAGGTTTTACAAAACGAAAATGTTTGTTTATATTTCTCAATAATATACATATAACGTCACTTACGAGGCAATTGTAATCCACCATTTGAGCTCATATGGGGCTCACAATGAAGTTTCCATAGGACTAGAAAAAGACTAAAAGAATTCATCTCCATAGGCCTAAAGAGTCAAGACTTATGGCCGTTGTACTGAATTTGTGACCCATTTTTAGGCATTTACTGGAAAACCAAATAACAAAATTTCGATTTGAATTTTTGGCCATAGATAAACTTAATCACCGTTAGAATATGCTGAAAGTTTCAATGGAAAAGAATATTTCTTTTTCTACATATTGAGTTTTTAGGTAAACTCGATTTTTGTGACATGTATGTGGCAAAACACTATTTTTTGGAAGGAACCTTGATATCTTGATCGAGAAATATTCTTTTTGACTCAAATTTTTAAGATATTTCAAGGAGCATTGGATCTATCTATGAGCAAAACTTCAATTTGGAATTCCGTTACTTGATTTTTCAGTAAAATGCCTGAAAATAGATCGAAAACTCAGTAAAACGTTCCTAATTCAGTTTGAAAGGTTCCAATGGACGAACCCTGGTAAACTCTTTCTAAACTTACCAAACTCGACTTGTAACCCAAACTTGAGTTCAAATGACAAGTATCAGTTCGAGTATTTCTCTCGTCAGTATAAGTGAAATTTGACACAAAAAAAAGTCAATAACGATAAAGATAACTATAGCATCGAGTCAAGTGCATATTATCTTTTCCGATCGTTTCGTTTTTATAGTGTATGTAACAATACACGTGATAACATATCAAACAAGATAAGATATTTCTTCGCATATATGTTGTATAGTTGAATTTTTTCTCTTTCTTTGTTTTTGTTCGTCATATATTTATCTAACGGATTGGATTTTCACATCCATCTATTATCAAAATGGACATCAATCATCGTTTACATGATGTTGAACAATCATCAACTGTTTATATTCATCAAGCTGAAAAATTTCATGCTGAAGCAACTCATGTAAAAATGATTACATTTACAAATAATAAAAATGATAGTTTTCGTCTTAAAATCTTCATTTTAGTTATCATCACTTTTAGAAAAATCTTTTATCGAAGCCGAACAATTTATCAATAATCGTATGCAAATTTTAGCATCACAAAGTATTGAAACAAATCAACATTTAGAAAATGAACAAGTACTATTATTAGCTATACGTTCAAAACTTGATACAACATTAACTAAATTAACACAATGTCATCAAGAAGCTATACGTTTACAATCAAATACTGATTCTCGTTTTCGTTTAATGATTAATACAGCTAAAGGTCGTTTAGAACAAGTCGAAAGACTTAAAACAAAAATGATACGATATGAAAATTCACTTGAATTAGCATCACCAGTATGTGAAGATACAAATAGAATTTTATCGAAAACTGATAATACAACAAAAAGAAAATTTCAAGTAAAGAAAAATAAATAAATTTCGTTTGTTTGTTTGTCTTAGATTTTATTTGTTTTTTTTTTCTTTAAAGGATGAATTAAAACGTGTAACTGAACAATTAAAAAAAGTTATTGATTTAGGTAAAGAAACTCGAAATGAAACACAAATATTACATGGACAATATGATACTGATGTTAATCGTCATATGGCTACATTAATGCGTCATGATAAAACTGAACGAGAACAAATGAGTATATTAATTGAACATAAACAAAGTTTATTACGTGAAATTGATTGGATCAATGAACAAAAACGAATTATTGATAATTTTATATCTAAAATGGCTCCAACACTTGATAAATGTTTATGTGAAGGACCATCGATAACTAATACTAATCGAACCGTTCAATAGCTTTTTATTATCATATTTTTTAAATGAATAAAAATAAAATCATTCAAAGTTTCGGAACGTTTATTTCGAAGCGATAAAATTGATTTTAATTCAAAGATTTTTTCTTTTTTTCTTCCTCATTAAAATACAAAGAAAAAACGTTGTGCTCTTTTAATCAATGATTTTATTGATTCAGATCATGAAATAAAGCTTTTTCATTATTTGATTCAAGTAAACATAATTTATAATAGTATTCATATGTGTTGACAAGATATATATTGCATCTATGTGTAAATTCCAGTTATAGGTGATGAAGCCACGAGGCTTGAATAGGCTAGTATCGACATAAATAAAGGTTTAGATAGGCCCTAACTATCGTAGAAATTTTATGTTAATGTTTAGTTTTATTTACTTCGGACAAGTTATGCTTGTAGAAAAACAAAAACCTTCTCTAGATTCATGCTTCGTAGTCTCAAACATACTAGATCTTCTATCAGATTGATAGTTTTGAGCAATGCATCACATTTCTTTGTACAAACGCTAATATTTTTCGACACCTTATAAAAATTTTTTCTTACTCAAACAGATTTAATAAACATTTTTAATGGCACATTGAGTTTTGTACAAGTAAGTCGTCAATGAATTGAAGTAGTAATTCTTCATTAGAAGTGCAGAAGAATTGTACGAAAAATCTGAGCTAGAATAATTATAATTTCTTATAATTTTTTTCATCTTCAGTGCCTAAACTTATATGCTTAGTAAACATTCTAACGCATGTCTTTTTTTTGTACACAAGTTACAGGTTTTTTTCTGATCTGCACTATTATTACACGTTGCAAAATGTGAACTCGATAGAAAAGATGCTAACTTTATATCATCTAAATAGTATTCAAAAACTCGTCCTCTCTCATTTTTAACTTCCAGACGACGATTTTATAAAAACAAAAAAGAACTGTCCATGCAAATCACTTACTTTCAAAAGAATGTCTCAAGAGTTCATTAACCCTTTTGAATCTGAACTGATGAGCTGATGTTGATTTACACCTACTCATTATTGCTTGAGCAAAAGAAAATATGCTAAATTACATAGAAGCAGGTATACATATATAGAAAGAGTTACAAAAAGGATGCCTTTGCCTCCTTGTCATATATATATTTGATTGATCGATACTATAGCAGACAAGTATTTCTGAAAATAAGTTTAAACACTCTAATCGCAGTTTCTCTTTGTACGTTTGCATGCCTATTTGAAAAGCACGAAAAACCAATTATTTTGATCGTAAAAGATGTGAAAAGATGCTTTAAAAAGGCAATCTTTATATTTGGAAAACGTTCGAAAAGCTTTCTCACAATACTTTTGATATACACCACGTATTAAAAAAAACGTCATTTTTGTCTGAAAAATACACCAAAATATTCCAGAAAAAATGTTTACAAATTTTCCAGATGCAAAATTTGCCTTTTTAAATCGTCTTCACGCACCTTAATGATGAAAATAGGTGAGTATGGTGTTGGCTGAATGATCGTCACAACGCTCAAATGAAAACTACGATTAGAGTATTTAAACGTGTTTTTAAACATTCTTGTCTACTTGAGTATTTTCTGAATCGTTCACGTGATTTGCCAACTTTTGTTTGCAATGAATCATGAGAGTTATTTATGACATCATCAGTAGTTGGAAGAATTTCTTATACGTAGAATAATCGTTATCGTTTATCTTTACATATTACAAAAGTGGTAAAAAAAATTTATATAATTAAAAATTCATCTGAACTATATTTCAAACAATCCACATCTATAGAATGTGAATTTTCCCTTTAGAAATGCATTCAATTCAAAAATCGAACATATCGAACTCCTTGAACAATATTAAAATCGTAAAAGAAGTGTGATTTTAACGATTTTGTTTCCGTTGAAATTTCGACGCAGCGTTTTTTCATTGTTTGCTTAACTGAGGTGTGTTGGCTGTTTTTTAATATTCATATCCAAGTGAAATACAAAAGAAAAGCGAAATATGGCAATCATTGTCATACATATAGATATGTTTTCATTTTCGAATGTGGAGCAACATCCTAGCATTTGTATCAATGCAGTATCAGCTGACATTTATTGATACACATTATAAACATTTATGTGACAAAACATACTCTTTCACTAATGACATATTATTGTTTTGTCTGTGTCAATCAAAAGCATGTTGCCTTTTTCTTTTTCACTACTAACCTACTTCACACATGGTACAAACTGAATAATTAAATTGACGTTGTCAACCGTTTTATAAAAGAACGATAAAGAATATATTTAATTTTTTATTAATTCATTATCAAACATTGGTTAATTATATGATAAATATGACTTCATCTAAACTATCATTCATAACTATAGCAACAGAAGCTGAGGCAAATCACAAAACGCGTTATTTACAAGAACTCAATCGTGATGTTTCTAGTTTGATATCATTTTCATTGCGTTTTACAATTGTCAATGTATTAACATCAATATCTTTAGGCTTTACTTTTACATGACATACTAGAAGGGCCACTGGTAACTATTTGATCTTGGTTAATTGAATCATTCTTTACTATGTTTATTAGTCTTCCCTTAGTTGAGATTTGTTCAGTTTATCTAAATGCGTTGGATCAGTTTATTATTGGTAGATAAAAAATAAAATAGTCTGATTATGATGTAAACTTGTTACATAAATATGTTTGTTTGTTTTTTCGATTAGAACTGATCAACTTGTATCTGTTCGGCGAGCATCCTGTGGTATCACTCATCTGTGAGCGGTCCAATTTTATTTGAAATGCTGCAAGTGAAAAGAAAAAAAATTTATTTTTCACAAAATATTGTCTTCATATTAACGGCTGATCCACAGTGAATGACTGTTCTTTTAGTCATTTAGTGTGTTTATTTTTAAAAAAAAACCAAAATATATCATAAGATAAAGTGTGAAAAGCTCTACAATTTAGAAATCATAGTTTTATTTTATATATTCATGCTTTATTTTCAAAATGGACGAAATTCTCTGCGATTAATTTTCGACGCTGGAAGCATAATCATATTTTAGTAGATGATCAATCCAGATTTTTATCTCATCGATGAAAAATAATTCTATTCATTGAAGAAAAATATTTCTTTTTATATAACGTGTTTATACTCCAATCCGACAAGTGGCAGACGAATAAAAAGATATAGATTAAAAAACTAAATATCCAAAAAGAATTATGGTGTGGTTAGAAGTTTCTAATAATGATCTTAAGCCTACAATTATATTGAACTTGTTCTTCCATATGCACAAGTTGAATTGAAAAAATGAAGATTTTTTTCTTTCCAAAGTGTCCGTCTTAGTTCTAATTATGCATTATATATATAGTGAATTAGATATTCAGTTAAAACCTGCTGATAAAAGGATTTATCAATATAAATGAGTGTGAGTATTTGTTTTTGTTAATATGACGGAAACACTTTCTGTCGAATCTTTTCCTCTTCCCACTTCTAAAAAATATCAACCATCCTGAACTGATGACGCAGATTAAGATGTACAACATCATTGTCTCTTTTTTTCGGCAGTACTCAGATACGTTTTTAGAAAATCATTTGATAAAGAAGTTTTGCATTATAAAACTGTTGTATTTAGGTGTTAGAGCAATATTTAAAATATTAATGTTTATTCAATCAACAGTCAAAAAGACTAAAAATAATACGAATTATTTTTATTTAACAATAGTTTTCTGAAGTGACACGTATGTCACAGAATTCTCCACACAATGCTACATATTTTTTTTACAGATGTTTCAAAATTTAAAAGGAATATCAGTAAAGATAATCGTGAAGTAAAAACTGGAAAAGAGCCTTGTCTGACAGGATTATGTGATTGTTTTTATTTTTGTTTTGATATAATCTAATGTTTTGTATTCTTCAACTTAGCGATCACAACATTTTATTGAGAATTGAATTCTACATCATCCACCAATGTAAGAATGACTCTTTTATAAATTAAGTTTCGCTTTGAATAACATGTTTTTCCGACATGAATAGAAAAGTAATAGTAGCTTATAATTTGAAGCTTTTTTCCTCGTGAACGATGACATCATAAACCTTGAAAAGATCGTAGAAGTATAGAACACAAAAATTTCTATCCGATCGATGTCAATTGCGTCACTTTTCGGATTAGTTTTCATGAACAAAGACTTACATAAATTGATAAATGTCTGTAAAAAATCGAAAATCGTAGTTAGACAATCGGACAGACATTTATAGTTCAAGTTTTATTCCGGTGCGAAAAGCATAGACAAAGCAGATTTGTAGAAAGAAAAATTCTCTATCGAATAATTTTCTAAAAATGTATTGAAAGGAATCGAAGAAAAAATAATATTGTCCTATTAAATCAATTTGTGTCACCCATTATATTTTATAGTCTTTTATCCAAGGGCAAGGAAGTATTCTGTTTTGTCTCTTTGTCCGTAAATAGAGCTTTCATAAAAGCTATTTTCTGTAATTATTAGCAGACAAGCTTTTGTTCGATTTTTTTGTATTGATCTTATGTTAGGCATAACAATGCATACTTTTCCGATGGCAATTACGTATGATAACGTGAAATAGAGTTTTGTAAAATAAAGAAATTTCTTTTTTTGTTACCTAAAGAAAAATTCACATTTAATATAAATTTTAATTCGATCACGTCCAGAAACTTACATTAGTAAACAAATCATAAGTTTTGTAGTATTGTTTTTTTTAATATCGATTTTACAACATTGTTGCATGTAAATCCTGACGTACAAAAATAAATTATGTACTCTTACAACAAAAAAAGGACAAATCAAACTCATGACAGCTTTTTATGATTCATAAAAAAAAATGTTTTGCCGGGCAGTTTTTTTTCCTGTTCTATGCATAAGAATGATTTTTGCACATAGTTAAATACTTGTCAATGAATAGGAATTAATATGAAAAAAAAAAAACTTTTGGATGAAGGTCGTTTGAAAGTTTTGCGAAAAAAACTCTATTATGTGACATCGTACGATATCGATTTTAATGTTGATGATCAATGAAATCTTACAATAATGTTTACTCTTTTACCTATGCAAATAGCAAACTCATTTCTCATCATACCAATATAAATCGGGTATGAATAGTACAGAAAAGAAAACAACAGTTTTTTTTTTACGATAGTATCATTTTTTTTTTTCGTCTAGATAATTATCGAAGATCATAAAAAAATTGAAACTATAGTGATAGGTAAATAGACGAAACTGAATCCAACATTAAGAAAATAAATCGATTCTCTTGACAAAAACAACTCTTTGGTGTTCTTCCAGTTTTGATAAACGACATTTTTCTTCTGTCATTTGATTTTATTTTCTTTTTTTCTTGCTACTACATATCCGCATGTTTTATTCTCATTTAATGATCCATCAAATATTATATGTGAAGTTAATTTTTTTCTTTGGAATCTCATTGACCTTTGTGTCAAGTACCACATATACTTGTTCATCGAGTTCTTTTTGTGGATGTTCACTTAATTCAGCTAGTTTAACAAAAATTGTCGGTGGAGAAACTGCTTCAAGTCAAACATGGGGATGGGCTGCATCACTTCGTTATACATCTAGTGGTTCGCATTTTTGTGGTGGATCAATTATATCCGATTCACATATTCTTACTGCAGCACATTGTACTCAAAAATTAAATTCTCCTTCTTCAGTACGTGTTCATGTTGGATCGATATATTTATCTTCAACAGGTCAAGTAAAAGATGTTTCAAGAATTTATAATCATCCAAATTATTCATCATCAGATTATCGTAATGATATTGCTATATTGAAATTATCATCACCATTAAATCTTGATCAAACTGGTGTTGATCTTGTTTGTTTACCTAATATATCAACAACTGCACTTGCCAATGGAGAATATCCATCAGCCGGCCTCAATGTAATGTTTATATATACTTGTATGAATTATAGTTTTTTTTGTAAATCTAATATATAATTTGTAGCTTGTTGCTATTGGTTGGGGTGTTCAAACAGAAGGCAGTCAAACAGTTTCTTCAACACTTCAACAAGTAACTATTCAATCTATTGCTAAAACTAGTGGTTATTGTCAAAATGTTGATTTAATTGATTCATCTACAAGATTTTGTGCTGGTGTGATGCCTACTGGCGGTAAAGGTAATTACCCATATATAAATTATTCTTTTTTTTAGAATTTTTTTGTGTGAAAAATATTTGCATTTAGATACATGTCAAGGTGATAGTGGTGGTCCATTATTAATGTTTACTTCTAGTAATGTTTGGGAACAAGTAGGAATAACTTCAGTTGGATATGGATGTGCAAGGGCTTATTATCCTGGTATTTATACACGTGTTGCAGCTTATCAGTCATGGATAAATGCAGTAATGAATCGAGCAAATCGAGTATTTATCATTTCATATGCAATGTTTATTCCACTTGTATTATTCATTTTATTACAAAAAGATATTTTTTAATTTGTTTTTTCCATCTTTTGATAAAATAATTAAAAAAAAAAGAAGTTTATTTATTTTTTCTATCTAATTTACATTTTATTTTTCTATGTGCTACAAAATGACAACATCTTGTTTGTTTTAGTTTCATGTTTTGGTTTTTTTTTGCATTTCGTCATTGTTTAATAAAGAATGTAGTTATTAATTCTGATAGAATAATTTTCTATAAGTAATAAATACACAAATAAAACATAATTGAATCATTGATTCTTTATAAAGATTTTTAGTACTTGAACGTGATTCATTTTCTAGTTCTAACTTTTTAATATTTGATTTTAATGTATCATCAGATTGAATTATTTCTCGTATATAGGAATCATAGTAAGCTATTCGTGTATAAACACCAGCAAAACCTGGACTTGCACAAATTGCTCCATAACTTGTGATACCAATTAACTGCCATCTTCCATTTTTAAACAACATTAATGGACCACCACTATCACCTTGACATGTATCTTTTCCACCTTCAGGAACACCAGCACAAAATTGAACAACATCATCATTTATTGTATTTAAACACGACGAATCTGTTCTTGCAATCGCTTGAACAATAACTTGTTGAAGTGTAGGCGAAGGTATACGTATAAAAGGATTTGTTGTACCCCAACCGATTGCAATAAGACTTGAACCTATAGGTGGATATTCAGCTTGTTCTAAATTAAATTCTGTTTTTGTTGGTAAACATATAACAGACATATTTGAATTAATTAAGTCAATGGGTTTATGCAGACGTAATATAGCTAAATCATTTATATATAATCGTTGATCATATAATGGATGAACATACATTTTCGTTACATTACGTAGTTCACCAATATTTGATAAATTAGTTATATCAAAATTAAGTGATAAACGAGATAATGATGGAATATCATTAACGCAATGTGCTGCTGTTATAACATATGATGGACTTATAAGTGAAGCACCACAATGATGTATATCATTTCGTCTTAATGATGCCATCCATCCCCATGAATGAGAAATAGTTACTGGCTCCCCATCAATAATTTTTGATAAAATAATTGTTGATCGTTTCGAACAACCACATGTCGCATAATGACTACATGTATAAGTAATAGAAATTGTAGCATCAAATATTCCGAATAGAAATAATAGAAATACTAAAAAGGTTATCATTATTAATAAAAACTATCATATACACAATCAACTGTTCTATATCCTACTCGCACTATCGACCTTTATAGTATGCGTTCAAACCTTGAGAACCAAAGAGAGACATTTTTTGGGTTTCTTATTTTTTTTCGTCCTGCACATATGTTTTTGCGCTCAAGTGAAACGGTATAAGGCCCATTGATTTGACAGTGAAGGTGTATCCATCAAGGGTATATATACATATATATATATATTTATCTGTATCTCTATCAATCTCTCTCTATATATATATAATGAAAAGAGATAGTAAACGAAATTTGCCCAATGCAGAAACTTTTTTTTTATCTAGGAGAGTCCTAGTTTAAATATAACCAAACAAATAAAAACTATTAAAATATTTTTATAAAATATCGTTGATCCCATTGATGAAAGAGAATATTGTTTTAAAGTTGTATTTTCAATACAAGTTATATTATTTGTTAAAAAACATGATATCCAATCTATGTAATATGAAACACGTGTATATACACCCGGATAATCTGCTAAAGCACAACTAATTCCATAACTTGTTATACCAACTAATATCCATTGATCCTTAGAAAATATCATCAGTGGACCGCCACTATCACCTTGACATGTATCTAAGACAAAAAAGAAACGATTAAATTTTCACTATTTTTCTATTCTAATAAATATTTCATTTTTCAATACCTTTTCCACCTCCTGGAACACCAGAACAAAATTGAATAGTATTATTATGAATAACTGTTCGACAATTAATACTTGTTTTTGAAAGTGTTTTTAATGTGACTTGTTGAAGTGAATCAGATGGAACTTTATTTCCTGATGATAAAACGCCCCAACCAATAGCAACAACAGTTGTATCTGTTGGTGGATAATAAATAGTTTTAGTTGATGGTAAACAAATAAGAGCTATTGAACGATCATTCATATTTATAGGTGATGAAAGACGTATTATAGCTATATCATTAACAAAAGTATTTGAATCATAATATTGATGAATATAAATTCGTGATACTTTTCTTTGTTGATGAATAATAGATAAATAAGTTGAACCAGCATTAATATTAAGACTTGCTAGTGATTTTATTGACATAAGACAATGAGCAGCAGTTAAAATTAATGTTGAAGATATTAATGAACCACCACACACATGACTATTTCCTATACGTATCGATACAATCCAACCCCAACTATCTATATCAGCTTGTTCACCACCGATAATTTTACTTAAAATAGCTGAATTTACTGAACAACCACATGATAAATTTGATAAACAAGAATAAGTGATTGTGGCAACAGCTGTAAATGCAATTTGTATAAAAAATACATGAAAAACGAAGGTTATTGCCATTCGTATGTGCTATTTCTCTATCGTTTTCGTCGATGATTTCTTATTGACATCAGTGCCATACGATACATGATATATATATATAAATATTTGATGACGTGTTTTATTTTTGCACTACTCAAAGAGAAGGATGTGAAACATAAAAGGATACGAAATGAGAAAAAAATAACGCGAAGCTTGTTATTCGTCAAATGCTACCCATCGAAAGTTTCATATCATGACATAAAGAAATTATTAAAAATGTTCATATTATAACTAGTATGATAATTGATTCCAAGATAAAATGTACTTTTCACAGTTATTTTATTTAAAAATAATATCTTGTTATTTTCTATTCAACTATAATCAACCCGAAAGAAAAACAATTCCTATATTATATTATTAATATAGCCTTTGTATAGTTCTATAAGCTTTCGATCTTACATAGTCGTTTAATAATTTTTGGCCAGTGTATTTTATGCTTAATTGATTTTTAAAAGCCATGCCATTAAAGTATAATTAACTGACTATAAAAACAAAATAATATTTAACAATGTAAAATATAGTAAAAGCTCTATTTTTAGTGTACATTAGACCGTACATAGATTTTTATGAGCTAGATGCAATTAAGTCTTAACGAGACTTCGCATGTATGAGATTTTTTCTTGAACATTTTACAGAATTTGTATAATTCCTATTGCTAGAATTTATCATGAGTAACAACAGATGTTTAAAAAACAACAAAAACAAATGCCACCGGTGTCGTTGCTACTTGATAATAATTGTTTTTTTCTATAGATTACGACTTCATATGACGATACAAGTTAATCTATGAATATTTTGTTTCGTTTTTTGAGAGTTTTTATTACAGATAAAGCCATGATGAATTTATATCGATGTAAAAGAACAAATTCCTATCAAAAACATTTGGTGTTTTCAACAATATCTTTTTCCAGCACATAGCACACACTCTCAGAAAGAAATTGGGCTTTTCCTGTTTGACAAACAAAAAATTCTAATTACATACTTCACATTCTACGATAGCTTAAACTCGAATATATTATACAGTAAACATGACTCATAAAAATAAAACATGTAAACCATTGAGTTCAATGCTATTTTGGCCATCTTATTCTGATAATTGTATACTGTTGAGTTTCTTCACTAAGATGTACAAATTAAATGTTTTTTTTTGTTATATTTAATTTCTTATTATAGACAACTATGCCGTCATTCATATATATATATATAATTAGCTAAGCACGCTATTTTAAATAAGCAATATATAATAATAACGTAACGGGTCCGACAAAAAAAATGTTAGAAGACTCAAAAGAAAAAATATTTCATTGAACGTCTTGAAATGAAAACAGAATCATTTATCATGAATATCAATTTTACACAACAGTCAAGTATATATTTATGACACTTGAATATTGTATTGATTTATATGATTGTCCTATATTTTTCTTCATCTAGGTGGAATGTCTTATTCGTCTCAAGTATCTGACCATGATTGTATTATTTATCGATTTATGTCGATTATGTTTATTAGTACTTCAATCATATCATTTGTTTGGAATATTCGTTTTTTACTCATTGATCGTCATCGATTAAAACCACTAGTATTAAACTTAATCATTAATTCATTTATATTCATAACTTTTAGTTTACCTTACATATTAGTTCAATCAATAAAATGTTATCCAATTCAATCATATATTATATGTTGTTTTCAAAGTTTTATTTGTTTTACATGTGGTATTTGTGTTATGTATACAACATCATTATTAGCATTAGTTCAATACATAAAATTATTTTATAATTCAAGTAGAATATATCAAATGATTGAAAAGAAAAATAATTTTCTTATTCCATTATTATGTTGGTTAATATCATTATTTTGGTCATTACCACCATTAATAAATAGCAAACCAGGTTTTATACGTCACGGTCAAGGTTTTGATTGTGGTCTGAATTGGATAAGAGCAGATATTCATAGTCGTCTCTATTTATTTCTTGCATTTATATTCATTTATTTTTTACCATTATTATGTTTATTGTATACAAATATTAGTATATTAATAACAATACGTAAACTAATCTATAGACGACATCCATTAATACCAAAACCTGGTGAGAAAATACCTATTGATATGCGTCATCATTTTATTGATAGATTTACTGTTATTGAAAGTAATCGTCTTAAACGTCTTCGAATTGATCGAAGATTTGCTCAAGCAACAATGATTACGGTTTTACATTATTTATTAGCTTGGACACCATATTTAATATGTGGAATATTACAAATGTTAATAGCTATGAAATATATTTATTATGAAATTCCATCAACGATATTAATAGTATCAGCATTAACAGCAAAAATGGCTGTTACGGGACAATCTTGTGTTTATTTTTTTACTATACGATCATTGAATAAATAATTCACATGTAGTATAAGCAATTTTAAAATAAATAAAAAACTAAAATAAAAATTCTTTATTTTAACTTGATAGTTTTATGAAATTCATTATTTATTTTATCTTAAGTAACTGTTACTAATTCGATGAAAGTTAAAAGTAATCCGAGATGCCATCTTCTTTCTTCCGACTTTTTTCTTCACATGAAAAAATGATAAGAAATAGCATAAAGAAAAAAAGATCTACTTTCAAATAATATATTTAGTTAATTATTATAAAAAAAAATATATAGGATTGATAAATATTTTATGGGTCTTCATAATAATTTTGATAGAAATAATTAATTAACAAAGTTTTCCAAAGTGATCTATATAGATTTTCTGAATATTCTGAAAGTTATAATCATATTTTAAATGCGTAGAACTTTGTTACTGATCAAGTTTAGTCTAGGAATAATTTTTATTTGAAAAAGAAGAGTAGTCTATTTATACTCTTTCGGACAAAGTTCATAAGTATTTTTAGAGTCTATCAATATGTTACTATTTTTTTTTTCTATATTTACTTTAATTTATCATATCACTAGAGCTTTTCATGTTTGCCTAACGTTTTATTAATACTTTTTTTTGGCGAAGTTCATTTGACAGGAAACAACTTAGTCAAGTATAATAGCAGCTAGGATCAAGAAATGATCGCCCAGTACTTTCATTTCAGTGATTATGGAAGATTTTGCTATGAGAGGAAGAAACTGTGTTCAGAAAATCTGCCGATGAGTCAATCTTTCCGAAACCTATTAAAAGAATAATCAACATACTGACTTTTTATATTACAGCTAAAAATGAAAGTCTTTAAAGAGTATGTCTGAACTTTATCCTCAAGAATAAATATTTATAAAATTAAGCTTGCTTGATCAGTATCGAATACGTTATACACATTTAAAATATAATCATAATTTTAGAGAGCCTGTAGATCTTCAGTGGTGACAATTATGAATAAGAAAAACTCCATTAAGATTCACTTGATTTTCTTTTTAGCTTTGATTACTCATTAAGATTAGACATTGCGAACTATTGAAGCAGAACATTGTACTGATCATTGTCATTTACTTTTCGTTTTGCCCTTCTTCTTTTTTTTCTTCTTTTCATAAGAGGAAGAAGGAAAAAATTAGAATCAGAACACTATTTCAATAGGCAGGTGTTTATATCTTTCACAGAATATTACAACTATAGAGCAAATTAAATGTATTAGAATTAGAATTAGAAGTGATCATACGACAAATTTTTTCGGTCATCTGTCTTGTACTACAGGATAGCATAGAAATCATTTATGTCCCTGACCATGAAACAAGGTAGAATATCATGCATGATAGAGCAGCTTGCTATTTTGATTTTCTATCCAACAAAGTAGATATCATCTGTCAGTCATTCTTCAATCTGCATGTCTTACTTTGTTTTAAAATAAAATAAATATCTTCTTAAACAATAACTTGTCAAAAAAAAGAATAACAACAACAACAACAACAATTTAAAGAAAAATCTTGTCTAAATTTTAAGACTTAGGAAGAATTAGATATTTTACCAATAAGTACATTTTAGAATAGTGTTTTTCATTTCTTTTGATAGTAGCTGCCTTCAAATTAATTAAGTGAGACATACTAGATAAGAAGCGAAAGTTTTCTTGTTAATTTTTTCTCCAAAAATAAAATTAATAGTTTACGTACGTTTATTTCTAATCTCAAATATTAATCAATGTCTTACATTCTTTATTCACATTACACTTATAATCATTATTGTCATTTCATCACTCTTCTTTACACTCGTTTCAATATCAAAGGCGTATGATTCGCTTTTGAGTCCATTAATTTTGCTTACTATAAAGAAGATAAGATCACAAGTCGGCAAAACCATCCAGTTCTATACTCAACTCTGAGCAAAATCTTAAAAATTAATGAAAATAAAAATATTGAAACTTGACAATCAATACTTAATAAATTATCTCTAGCAATTGACTGGTGCTTCTCTTGAAGAATATTATTGCACATTGTTGTAAGAATTGAAAAGGCTGATGCACTGGGTACTTTACTTATTTATGTTGCTTAATTGAATATTGAAAATAGAATAGATGTAACAATAATTATATCAACTCTAGGTTCTGATGATGCGACCACGATCTATTTTTCTTGTACATACCGTTTCAATTTTATATGAGAAAAATATGGTTCTTTTCTTACCAATAATAGTACTCGTGAAATACTAATGATCTGTCATTGGTTGAATTATATATGTATTGCGAGAATCAAGAACTACCGAATATCTTCTCAAAAGCGTTTTATGATGAGTATAATCACTTTAAGGAAGAAACTTCGTAGAAGTGGATTAACAGTAGAAGATAAGACTTCATTCGTAAATTTTTACGGTGACTTAAAACGTTTCATAGATCCATAGGATACTCAAAAAATTGTTTAAATATTGTTTTAATTTTCGAAATTCCTTTTACATTAAGTATCGCATCGGGCTTTTAGAATTTTCCGTAGTATCTTAGTTCGATTCAATATTTTATTTATCCATATGAAGTACAAAACGTGATGTGCAAGTTGATATTAATATAGATGAATCAGTATTGACAGTTTAAAGAATGGTTAATCATCAGTTTCGTATGAGTACCATAATTGATTAGAAAATGATATTTTTCTGACCAAAGATCGAACTTGAATATTTGATCAGATTGATGAATTTCACTGTTGCTTTTTGGATAGATGCATTAGTGTTTGTTTTGGTTAATTGTGTTGATACACATATGGTTGCTAGTAATGTTTCTTCATTATTACATATAGCATGTGATATGTTCCATCTATCACTTATTACATAACTAGTCGATAATAATCTTGGTCTAAAACAGCCAAGCTAAATTTCAATGAACACCATTACATGTTACCAATGGATCGTTTGATGACTATCGGTCAATTCCAAAAGGGAGCAACTGAAGTGTTCGTTTTCGAAGTTCACTGTTCTTTCCCCGGTCTATTCATGATTCGAACGAATAAAATACTGATACATCAGCACATAATAGGAATCAAACTACCATATTTGATCTATTGAAACAATCGAAAGCAAAAAAAACGTTCAAAAGTATCTATGAAAAATTTGTCAACATTAATACTAATGAATCAGATTCTGATTAATCTGTGACGAGTGAAATATATACCAGTGATAATGGATTTGAATGTGATATCAAATAGAATATCAAAAATCATCATAGATCTCAATGAGAACATTTAAAATATCTGACTGTACAGAATATACTACTAAATTCTAAAAATATAAATTTTTTTTTTGTGGTCATCTGTTTATGTCAACATGACCGGTATTCATGTTTCTCTCAAATGTCACCGTTATTATAAAAAAAAAAGAAAAAAAATAACAATAACAATAAATAAAAACAGCAATAATATATTTTCTTTTGCTTGTTGTTTTATGTGTGATCAATCATTAAGACTTGTACGTCGAGTATTTGAGTCACCATCTAATGACCATTCATCAGCTGATTCTAATCTACGTAGAAGTAATCGTTCAGTGGCAACTAAATCAGTATTCACAGGTTTTTCTTCTATAATAATAAAAAAGAAAATCAATCATATTGATATTTCATATTTGGTAACTATACTTTGTAATGTATAGAATTTAAGAATACAATGAAACACTATACCAGTAAGACATATAACAAGACCGATGATATTTATTGCATTTAATTGATTATTATTATATTCAACAGCCAAATAGAGCATAACAACTTCCTTTAAAAAGAAATTTTAGAAAATATTTATATATAAGCTAATTTAGGCCGAACGAGACGTATTCACCTTTTTTTCCACTGGAATTCTTTTACAAAGGTTATTTTTCTGAATAAATTCTTTGTTAGCTCTTTTAGTTGAATATTAATTAAAAAGTAATTTAACAAATATCTCTTTAACTATATGAGGAAAAAATTCGAAAACTTCAGGATAAAATCTAAGATGTGAATTACATCTATAGTGAAACTTTTAGCAAGATCATACTCAAAAAACTCTTTCTGTTAAAAACCAGTTTTCTAGAGACTCTATCAATTGTCAAAACAAAAATTTTTGTCTTACCAACATCTAGAGATTCTGTCGCTAAAAGAAAATCAAATTGATTGTTTTTGAAAAGCTTAGGCATATTTATAAAAACTTCTCCGTAGAGATATTGTAATCTAAGAAGTTGTCAATAGAAGGTATTGTTTAGTTTTCAAAAATACTGTTACAATTCGTAAATTTTTCTAAACTAAAATGTATGAAGTGAAAGTTGATGTTGTTGTTTGTATCATGGTGTTAACGCTAATTTTTTACTGATAAGTGAGGTTTCTAGCGCTGATTTTTTTCAGAGTACCTAGGGTAGTTTAACATATACTTGTAACATATAAAAATTAGCTCTAAGAACGTTTGTTATCTCAAGATAAATGCTTTTTAATTTTGCGAAATGACGTCACTAACGGATGATTTCACTCATATATTGTTATTTAATATTCTAATAATAGATTATTAAATCAAGACAATTTTTGTTCATGTATGAAGATATTACTATACGAAAAGAAAATAATTCTATCTAACTGATGTACAGAGAAAATTGCATGTAAATCAAAGAAAACATTTTGATTTCGTACTTTGCTATCGGCAAGAATAAATGTTGTATTTGATGACATTTTTTTATAATTTCGAAGACAAGAAAAAACTAGTTAATAATATCAAGAATTAATCTTCAAAAATATCTTCATTCCAATTCCAATTCTTCTAAATTAACATCAACATTTCTTTTTTCTCATCAAGAAACTTCTTAGCAATTACAAAACTTATCTCGAACTAATGAACTAGAAGAATCACGTTTCTTCAATTCAGATGTTAATCATCCATTACCGAGATCAAAAGATCTTATAGTTCGGAACAGTATTCTAATGCTTTTCTGTTGAACCCAAAAATAAAATTAATTCATTTCAATGGAAAAAAAAAGTAAATAGTTCTACATTTTCATCTATACTTTGAAATTCAATCAAATGAAGAAAAAAAATTTTACCTTAAAAATACCTGATACACTCAGAGTAAGTGAAGATGTATTTGACACTAATAAAAATTCACTGAATTCAAGACAGAATGCTAATAAAGCACTAGATCCAAATATTCCCATATGATGACCAACAGAAGCATATGATTTTTTATTAAGTAACCGTAATTCATATAATAATTGTTGACCTAAGATCAAAAGAAAACAAGTAAGTTACAAAATAGAAGAAAGAATAAGAAAAAAAGAAAGACCTACCTTCTCTGATGCATGCAAGCGGAATGATTACGGCAAGCATCCACGGTTGAACATAATACATAGCATCAACGGGATTGCTCAAGCCTACAACGAAACATAAAAGAGAATAGGGCTTAGTCGTCATTAATTATTTGTTGACCAAACAAGCTCATCGTTCTTATTATATCTTTCGCTTTCTTCTTTTTTTTTTTTTTAATATTTTTGCTTTTGTTAATACAAACGAAAGTTAAAGATATTGTAACATATATAATAAACAAGACCGATGGCCGAATGAATGCACGGTTTGAAAATCGTCAAGTCACTCCTTGTGCGAGTGTTTCTTTTAGCTCACGGGCTTATTTCTACCTGGCGTGTTATTGATACAAATGAAAATCAATATTGTTGGATTATTCTTGTTGGTCTCGGGTTTTTACTTGTCGAAACTGGCATCGTTATTTGGCTTCGAAATGGACGTGAATTTAAAACGTATGTTTATATTTCAAAACAAAAAAAAGGAGTTCTCCTTTGTATATATTATGTTTTTAGAATTGCTTTTTGTATCATATTCTATCTGACATGTACAATACCATCATTATGGGTAATACATATTGAAACAGCAAATAGAAAATTATATCATCTTGCTGAAATAAAACTTAATTCGCGAGCAACTGTACCATCGATTCAACCGCAACAACAAAATTCTATTTCTAATAGTACATCATCAGATAGTTCATCATCATCATCATCATCAACAACATCACGTTTATTATCACATATTACTCCAATTGCACTTTTAATAGGAAATATCGAATGTCATGAGAAAGCATGGTATTATATGGATGAACAACGTTGGCTTGATGCAATACAAGAAACAATGCTTATTATTTTATCTATATGTCGTTTAATGATCACTCGTGAGCATATGACTGTGGCAAAAAGTGGAATTGTTTTACTTATAACTTTTATAAATGGTGCTGATTTATTAGCTATGTCACATTCAATACAATATCATGATGTTATCATTGAACGTCTTTGGATGTATATTGGTCTTACTCTTCTATCAATTGGTTTATTTCAAATGTCATTTATTGATACAGATGGTTTGACGTCATCAACAACAGATCATATGACAGCATATGATAATCATAAAAAAAAATTAAGAAAACGAATGCATTTTCTTCAAGATCAAAATATATGTCCACTTTTTCGAGTAAATTTCATACATATAAATATTTCATTTATATAATAATTGTTTTTTTGTTTTTTGTTCTATTTGATAGGCTTTATTTATTAATGATGGTCTACTTTTATTATATCGAACATTATTAGCGACTAAAGTTCGATGTAGTAAACCAACAATTATATTTTTTATGGGAAAAAATGTTTTCATGATTGCATTACATTGTTATCGTGTTTATCATAGATCTCAAGAACATGCTAAAGAGAAAGCATTTGCTGCTTATGAACATTTAATAAATTCACCATCATTGTCAGGAAAATATCGTCATCCATTTTATGATCTTGAACAACATCATTCACGAAAACATCAACAACGACAACAACGATTATTACATCGAACTATTCGTCGACCAATATCAATAACTCATCGACGACGAGCAAAAACTCCACGAACATTACAAAATTTTTCTAACAATTCTATCTCATATCCATTTGCACGACGTCGAAATGATGGTGGTCGTGCACGTACAGCATTTGCTCTCTATGGTCTACCATTTCATTCATCACAAGGTCCTCGACTAACAACATCATCTTCAACTGAAAGTCTTGTTGCTAAAGCTATCGTTCGGTAAAAAGAAAAAAGAAAAGAAACTATCACTTTACCAAGTTCATGTTTTTGTGTTATTAATTGTGTAATTGTCCAACGAAGACCAGATAAAAAAGAAGCAACCATAATAAGAATAAAACCAAGAGCATCAAATTCTGTATAATGATATGTAAAAAGAAATAAACCACTAGCAATTAGAGTAACAACACCAATTAATGAACAACGCTAAGAAATAAAAACACAAGAATGAACATTTTATAAAGAAATTTAGACGAGAAATAAAATTACGAATCGTTCAAGACCAAATATAATACCAAATATGAGAATGTAAATGATCACAGTCGATTTACACATTACTAAAAAGAAAAAGAAATAGTAGCTTTTAAATATCTAATATATTATTTCTGGATGATAACACAAGTAACGGTCTTCAAATATGACCTATAGATATAAGGGGAGTCCAATTTTCGGTCCAATCTGAAATTCCTCTCATTAATTGTCATGAAAAACCTTATTTCTATGAATGCTTCGTACACTTCATAATGATAAGCAGTATAAATTTATATCAAATTATAATTGTAGAGTTTTGATCAGCAAACAACGTTTCGAGAGATCTCATGATATGTCACTAGACGAAAAGTACTAAATGAATTTCATAGTTGAAATACTTGAGTTGAAACCATCAGTGATTAGATTACTGCACAAAGTATTTAGATCAATTGAATATTTTAGTCTTTTGAAAGTAGAAACTGTATGTAAAATATTTATTCTAATGGAATTTCTGTAAAAATAGAAATTAGTTTGATTTTTAAAGAAACAACTAGAAACTCCAGCTCGAAATCTAATGAGGTAAGTTCTTCTAACTAATAAATTGCTATTGATTCGAGATTATGTGCATCATGTAGATCTAAATGAGCTATTAATATCGTGAAAAAATTTTGTGCCATTAGCTTATTACTGCGTTGATACTACTGCTTTCGGGGAAATTTTTTAATGTATGCTATGGCCTTTCTTACAAACTCTAGAAAAAGTTACTTTCGAATTTCGATTTAAAACTTAGCAAAGAGATATATTTCGACGAGAATAGTTCCTTGTGAAAATTTCAAGTCTTTTTATTTACTCCTTATCCTGAAATAAGGACATCGAATCTACTAGTGTATATAAGCAATATAAATGATATGTTATTACCATAGCTGTACCTAAGGATAGAAGCAATGAAAATACGTGAAACTTTCTCGAAAAGCTCTTCTCGTTAAGAATGATTTCTATGCAAAGTTTCATGACAAAATTTGGAAATAAATCATGCATTTAAAAAAATACTATGAAATCATTTTTGGTGACTTTCCTTGTAAGTCTTTCAATGATAAAAGCATGTTTCTAACACTGTTAAGTAAAACAGTCAAACTCTTACGTTTTTTTTTCAGTTATGTACAAAAAAAACAACGTCAAATCTATCAATGAAATATTGTCAAATCTGACTTGACAAAACTATGAATTCGAAATTTTTCTGGTAAGGAATTGTTCAATATTCAACCAATATTCAAAATATGGATTTTTTCTTTCTTACTTCATGTAAACAATGTCTTAGTTCAAAAATTCTCTTATATTCTAATATTGATCTATAAGATGACTTTATCATAAAATAACACAGTTTGACTATATTCTACTTACTATAAAGTGAAATAGTTATATATTGTAAAGACCAATTAGATAAACTTATATCAAGTGAAGCAGTTATACCTAAAATAAATATATTTTTTTATATTAGAGATAGATGGAGAAGTTAAAAAAAAAAAAGAAAACATGAAGCTTATGATACCAGTAGGTGCAATTTTTCGCCATAATATTGGCCATGTTAAATTTACACGTTCTCTATCATTATTTTGATGTCGTCCACATAATGTTGTACAAAATGAACAATAACAAAATTTATGTAAAAACCAACGAATAAGTGCAGAAAATAATAATTTAATTGCCATGTGTAATGTTGTTATTGAAAGTGGAAATTTATAATCACGAAATAAATGTCGATTAAAAAATGTTAATGATATTGAACAAAGCCAATAAAGTAAAATAAAACTACAAACTTTAAGCATGGTTATTAATGTACTAAATAAAGAAGATGATCGATATACATTATGATGACTGAATAAATTTTTTCGAGACATTCTATTTTAATTTTTATAATAATAAAATATTTAAAAAAAAATAACCATTTGTACACAGGAACAAAAAAACAAGAGACCAAAACGTAGATGCAAAGCAACTATGTAATCTACAATGAGAAACAGCTGGTTTTGATGACAATATGTAATAGAATATTTTTATAGAATCAATAAATAATTGAAGATATATATATATATATAGTGCTCCAAACGTCAGAAAAAAAAGAAAAGAACATGAATAGCTCCTTAGTAATTCAAAAGGATTTACATATTTTTTTTTCAGGCATTCGTTTATGTTTTATTCAATATATTTTAGATAAAATGTTTATGTCTAAAAATATAAAATAGGTTCGTTCATGATAAAACTCGAATAAGTCAGTATTCTAAAACAGTAACTACAGACGGAATTTAGAAGGAACGCACTAACTCAACATTACATTGACAATAGATTCTAGTGATTTTGTTAAAAAAAATATTATTGAAAATCAATGATCGTAGAGTGATTACTGTAGAAAAAGCCAATGAGGACAGAATCAAGTGTTCGATGTATATAATGCTTCTTCTTAGAAGTACTTTGTATGACTTGTATACACTGACGGGATCTGAGAAGACTCAAAGATCGTAATGGACGGCTGAGACGCTCTAGTCAAAATCTCTAACTCTACCACTACTTTAATAAATCATGATACTTCATGGTTCGGTATGTTGTTTCATTTTTTTTGTTAATGAGCAAACTTGTGCAATATTTTACAATCATTCTTAACTTTTTCTTCAGTAGTTTTTCTAGATTTTCTGGAATGAGATCGATCTTCGACAGTGTTTGTTTCACAAAATCTCTTAAATGTGATTGTAATACAGGACATAGCTGACATGTTTTTTTGCCGAATCATACCTGCAGCTTGGCTTTTTCTAATGGTAACTAATTCGAATTCGGGCATCATGTAAAACTATTTTTAATTTTGTAGACACAGATATTTTATCTGAAATATATTGAATAAAGCATTAACGAATATGTGATTAAATTGTAAAACAAAAATATTTAAATGAGTTGAACTGTTGAGAAACTGTTCGTTTTATCTGTTTTCGTCTCAAATTTTGAAACAGTCTGTATAAATATATAGATAAGGTTTTCAAGAATATTTTTTCCAAGAAAGACTTAAAATAAATCTCTTCAATCATAACATTTGGTATCAAACGTAGATTGTTTTATACGGGTTTTCATTTCTTTTTCTTAGGACAGTTCAAAAAATTTCGTAAATTATCAATTGATTGTATATATTATATTACACAATATTTTATCATATGCGTAGTTAAACATTTTCCTATTCTCATTCTAACTTCAAGTTTGTATTGAGAAGGAGATTTTTGACATCAGATATACAATTAAGAAATGAGCCGAAAGTATCTAGATAAGATATGTGACTATTTTTCACGTGTTAAGGTGTTTGGAAAAAGAATCAAAAATAGCGTATTAGAATCAGAGTTTTATGCTCTTCTAGAATATACTCATAGAATTTTTCTGTGACTTTTGACTATTCAACTATAAATGCTTTCGTCATTTTATTAAAGTAGAATTTACCGTCAAGTGCTGTATATTTACAGAACTTATTTGATGTTTATAGGAAGCAGACTTGTTTTCAGATACTTTTTATCGAATTTTGTCAAGATTTACTTAAAACTCAACAGTTAAATATTACAGAAAAATTATAAGCATGTAATCTGAAAGAGTACAAAACTCGGATTCTAATATAGAACTTCTTAAATCCTTTCAACGTATTTAAATACGCGAAAAAAAGGAAAATCATTTGTCTAGAAATTTTCAATCCAGATCTTATTTTATTTAAAACATCTAAAATAAATTAGTTCTTCTACAGCATTCATTTCTCTCTAAAAAATAATATAATTATTCTAGTCTCTGTATTGATCGAATGCTTTTTCATTTAGAGAACAAAATTTCTTTTTTCTATAGAATTCTACTATAAATTTCGATATTCACTTACGTATCCGTTAAAAAGGATAATAATATACAGGAATATCTGATAAACGGTAAAATCACTCTGGAATTAGACGATGTTGATTTGATGAGTACAAGTGAATGATAAAAAAAGTCTAGAATGGTTTGATTTTCGTGGTCTTTATTCTTGAAATATTAAACTTTTGCTCAGTTTTCTGTTCACCTCACGTCACGAAGAGAATTGAGTTTCGACTTCAAACTTTGCCTGGACAAAATTCTCAATGAGATCAGTTGATTGTGCAACTAGTATTTCCTTTCTTGAGATGTAAATATTTTGAAGAAACGTTGCTTTCACGCAAGAAAGAGAGTTTCGAACATTTCATATCTCAGGATAGGAGATACTAGAGAAATAACAACTTGCCTAATGAACTAATCTTATTAAGAACTTTGTTCGTGCCAAGTTTGAAGTCGAAAATCGACTTTTCACGTGACCATAGCTTTCTGTTGAAAAACCCAATAAAATTTTGATATTTCAAGAGTAAAGAATCGGAAAATCAAAGCATTATAACATTTTCTATTACTCACAAAGTACTCAAAAAAATAACACTCGTCTTGTTTGACAAACGATTTGATATTTAGTTTGGTTTACTCATTAGTAATTTGGGTTAATTTCATTCACTAGACCCAAAAATAATACACGTGACGAAATACTACCTACGTCAATGGGGAAAAAACAGAGTGCAAAGAAAAAAAAAACTAAAACCCAACAGCTATAAAAATCCCTTCATCTATTAGGTTAAGATCGTAACTCAATTTTGTAAGATATTACTTATGCACTGTGCATTTCTGCTCCATCCCTCGAAGGTGAAACCATTACAATTTTTTTCTGCTTTAATGAAATATATATAAAATCATCAAACAATCATATTTCTTCTTATGTTTATTTCTCATTATCTTATAATATAAAGAAAAAAAAAAGACGCAAACATAACATTATATATATGTATATAAGCACAAATAACGAAATGGACAAAAAAATAGAGTAGTGAGATAAACATTTCAATTTGTGGCCTATTGTTCTTCTCGAGTACAATCATGCATGTTGGGAGAAAAACAAAAACTGAATGTCAAAATCTAAATAAGAAGAAGCATGGCAAACTAAAAAACAAAAACAAAACAAGAGAATATATAGCACCAGTAAACAAGCATAATAATCAAATACAAGCAATCAAAATCAAAAAGAAAGAGAAAAAAAAAAAGAAAACTGTCAAAAAAAAAAGATTAAGAAAAATTTAATATTGCATTAAATCATAATCTATTGATTAAAGGTGAGAAAAGTTTAAGCACGTAAAAAATAGATCAGACCGATAAAGAAAATTAAAAACAATAGGAATTTTTTGGAATGTACAATATTCAACAGAATAGATTCACTTGATCAATTATTCGACGATACGTACGAGGTGTATAAGGTGGAGTTTGTGATGATGCTAAAAAAATCGACAAATTTATTTGATTAGAAACAAATATTGTAAGTTTCATTCGATTAAGAAAAGCGCAAAAAACAGAGCATACTGTGATAAGTGTAAGCATTTTAAACAAAAAATTATTTAGACACAATCTTACTTGACAATATCAAAAAATAAAATTTTATTTTAAACATCTGGAAGTTTAATTTAATAAGTCGAGAAAAAAAATAGAAGATTTTTTTTTTCTTTTTTTTGAATAATTATTTACTTGTTGTTGTATGTGGTGATAATGTCGGTTTTTTATCATTAGATGACATTAGAGGATTTGTTGTTGTTAACATACGTGCTCGTTCTTTCACCGATAATCCTAAGAATAAAAAAAATCAATGAAAATTAGAATTATTGGATTAAAATACATACGTTTATACTGTTCATCATGATCATCAGTGTTAGATGTTGCTGTTGATTCAACAGTACTAGCAGGCATAGTGTCTGATGTAATAGTACTTTCGGTTGATGGAGGGAGAACTACAAGAGAGATTAATATATTATTAAAAGGTTATTTTTTTGTTTTTGAAAAATATTCTTTTAATTGAAAACAGTATTGAAGGCAAGTATCTTAATCTCAATCTTCTTTCATAATAATCTCACTGAAGGTTTTAGTTCCATAACGTAGTCTGTGATGAATCATCGCTAAAATATTTGTCATATCTGTGAGGAAGAAAATTTCTGTCTTGAAGTATGGAGCAGTGGACAGCAGCAGCTTCAATAACCTGTCATCTTGCTTATACATACGACTAGCTGTAACCTTGGACAGAAGATCAGCCTGAGGCAGACTTCTTCGAGCTCTCCATTAACACTAACTAACTACAAGAACAAGTGTATGTCACAACTTAGTCATCATACTATTGGACGGATGATTCGAGAGAAATAGCATTGACCAAATTCATTTCATGTCAAACTGTAGTGAGCTATTGAACACCATGCCTTGTAGATACGTGGCGAACAACCTATTTATTCAGATTTAATTCAAAAGCAAATCCTTGTACAAACTCCAAATCCATTCTAGATTTGTTGCAGTTCTAGAAGAGTAGTCAAGATTTCTATCCGTATATCTTAACATTCTTTTTAGGTCAAGTTTCAAAAAAAAAACACTTGAGTATTGTTTAGAAAATTGCCAGATTAAAACAGAGACTATTTTAGAACATATTAAAAAACTGTATAGCTGTTTTTTTTTTGTCGTTTCTTAATGAATTGATAAGTTTAATTAGAATAATCGATTATTTAAAGGTTGAATAACTGAATCTTGATTAATTATAGTTTTTGAAGAATATCTTTTTTTTTAATGTCTATGTCTATGATGCAATCTCAATTTTCTGTTTTCATTTATATTCAAACCTCATATGCATGTGATTTGATATATAATTTATACATATCTTTTTTTACCTTTTTTCTCCGATTGAAAATGTCTTAATTTAACTGGTGGTGCATCTCCATTTGGATCAATAAGAGGAAGTACTCGAGTACCAATAGCTAGTTTGCCTGTTCGAGCTAATACTGATGGTATTGATGATATAATAGAT